TTTGAGACTGTGCACGTTTCGGTGACTCGAATTTTGAATGTCGCAATCGTTTTTCTTCTGCTAGTTCTGCTGTACTCGCCCTGCTCCTGCTACAGCTGCGCTGTGTCAGACCTACAGGCTCGCCCCTCAGATGATCGCCAAGCATCTCGCTTCCAACTTCTTCATCTACAGCGAGCATGTCCAGCAATACATAGTCCGCCTCTGAATCATTGACCGATCTATGGACGGAGATTTTTCCACTAAACTCACCGGACTCCTCACTTATTTCGCTCATCCTAGCTGGCGAGTCGACAGTTGCGTCGAGTGTGGATGAACTAAACTACCACAGTTCTGAAGGACCTCCAGGACCTTCACGACGTCGTTAGCGACATACTTCTTGTGCACACTGAAATTAGTTGTGATGTGCATTCTCCGATCTCCCGGCTTCACTTGGCGAAATAGCGTTTATCTACATTGTCTACCTCTGTTCTTTGCCTTTCCCATAATTTGGACGGGTATTTGTGAGTCAGTCAAGACAATACACTGAAAGATACATCCACATTATATCTGAGCGCTAGGAAGCTAGGAAAAACCGAGGTGTCCGAATGTTTCATGACGCATACGGATTGACGTGCCATCACTGCAACACGGAAAATGTCACGACTTGTATCCAATGAAAGCACTGCGATAAGTCATGCAGGAGTTTGCCTCGTGCTTCGGATACCAAGTGTTGACCTACCATGTAGATCTACATCATTGACTACGATAATGGCCCATGCATTGACGCTGACACATTTCGGCTCCGTGAGTCTTGGCGAAATAGCGTTTACCTACATTGTCTACCTCTGTTCTTTGCCTTTCCCATAATTTGGACGGGTATTTGTGAGTCAGTCAAGACAATACACTGAAAGATACATCCACATTACATCTGAGCGCTAGGAAGCTAGGAAAAACCGAGGTGTCCGAATGTTTCATGACGCATACGGATTGACGTGCCATCACTGCAACACGGAAAATGTCACGACTTGTATCCAATGAAAGCACTGCGATAAGTCATGCAGGAGTTTGCCTCGTGCTTCGGATACCAAGTGTTGACCTACCATGCATGCAGATCTACATCATTGACTCCGATAATGGCCCATGCACTGACGCGCGTACGCTGACACATTTCGGCTCCGTGACAGTCGCACATGAATCTGTTACTACAAGACTTAGCAAGTAATTAGTTAGTGTAACTGTAAGATCAAGAACCCACCTTCGACAACTAACTTACTAAGTCTTCATAAACACAATGGTCGTGTACCGGTACGGTAGCTCAGCAAACGGCAAAAAGAACACGGTGACTTGGTCTCAACGACGTTTACGTAGCAAGGCAGCCAGACATATCTCTACTACTGTACTAGCGGTGCATCTACGAAGTAAGCCGTGATGATTCGTGCGAATCATTGAACCAAAGAAACGGCAGCATGCATAATAGTGACACACTCCCGTATACCTTTTAGTACAACCGGTGACCACTGCTCGGAAAGCTGGAGTTTCTGTCAGCTGTGTAGTTATAGCAGGGAGATGGCGGAGTCGGTACCAGACGAAATGGTCTCCGAGCCCAGATCTCCACGTAGTCGTCAAAACAAGAAGCCGTCGTTTGGAGGAGACAATCGTGTAGGAAGCAGTGATGGCGCAACAGCGTCTGCGCAGTGGTGTGAAGAAGCACAATGTTACCCCTTACCTAAAACTGGTGCCGCTGTGCGCACCCAAACTGTTGGAGACAATCGTGGCGTACGAAGCAGGCCAAATGCTGGTGGCGCAGCAACATCTGCACGGTGGAACGAAGTACCAGACTGTTACCCGCTGCCTAGGACTGGTCCTGGTGCTCGTACCCAAACCGACTATGACTCAGTGATGAACTCTCCATCGTCTAGCATGCTATCCTGCCATTTCTCCTCTGGAGCGCATTCGATAAGCGACTCTGTCTTCCCGCAGTATACAAACCAACTCCTAAGCCCACTGGCTTCGCCTGGGCACGGATGTAGAGAAGGTGTTCACGCAACAGATCACGTCCCCGAAGAGAGTGGCGAGAGGCCCCCCACCTCTTGGGATGTGGATCTTTGCTTCATGGTGGATTGCACGGACAGCATGAGCAGGTGGGTACGCCAGATTAAACTGCTTCACCAACGGATCCGGGATACCTACAATAGCCGGTGCCACATCAGGGTAGCGTTCGTTGCCTACTATGACCTCGCCTGGGAGTTTCAACGCCAAAACTTTGTAGTTTATGTCGACGCCCTGGATTTTACTTCATCTCCGGAAGAATTTTGCGACAAAGTTGCAAAGGTGGTTGTCAATGGAGGAGGTGATTCGGCAGAGGATGTGATGACAGGATTTGAAGTAGCCTTAAAGCTATCGTGGAAGGGATCCATCAAACTGGTCATTCACATTGCAGATCAGCCAGGCCACGGGTTAATGTACCATCATCGGGATGTAATAGACACCTACCCTGGAGGAGATCCAATTGGGCGCTCTCATGTTGACATGATGAGGATGATGGCATGCAACAACATTCAGTACTGCTTCGGAGTGATAACCAAGCATACTGGAAAGATGATCCATGTCTTCAACGAATGCCTCAAACAAGAATCATGTGGGCGTCTATCAGTCAATACCTTTGACGCCAGCAAGCCAGAGGATGAAGGTTTTTCCACTGCTCTGCTTTCAGCTGTGCACTCAAGCATCGCCCACTCAGTGTCTGAAGGTCGCATCCCCCTGGAACTAAGGCCAGCATGCAAGGAAATTGATCCAGCCTTGCCCACGAACTTGGAGAGATGTGCTATCATGTCTGCAACCGCAATGAGCTTCAAAATGCCACCATCCATCGATGATGACATTCTACAAAGTGCCACAATGAAACTAGTCAAGTCTGATGTTGTGATTCGCATGGCAGCCAAGCCATTTGCCCAAGGTCACTTCCAGCTTTCCTACCATGGTCTAGACACAGTCAAATACCGACGTGTCGTTCTGAAGCAGAGTCGATTTGCCAATCCTGAGCGTAACCGGCTTAAGCGCTACCTTGAGAACATGGAAGTCCAGGTGATTACTGCTCGCTTCTTGGCTGACTTCAAGAAACAACTGCAAAACGGTATTGTATGTGCCGGGCAACAGATCAATGTACTAAATGCCAAGGTTATCATGCTGCAGGGTGCGACTTGCGAGCAAGACAAGTTTATGACGATGGAGCCACATCTTGGAGAGGACTCCACCAAGTTGAGCAGCATCGGATATGGCCAGCCTGCGGAAGATGAGCCAGAGTGTATCATCCAGGCATTCAGCCACTGGACGTACTTCAGGTCGGGCAAGTCTTTGGTCATCGTCAATGCTCAGAGCAGCGTCTATGATGGCGTAATCTACCTTACCCATCCTGCCATACACAGTATCGACAGAAAGCGCTTTAGCAAGACAACCAACTGCGGCAAGCCTGGCATGGACATGTTCTTGGCTGCCCATGAGTGCAATCGCCTATGCAATGCTTTGAATATTCTAGATTGAATGTTCTGCGGCAGCCATGAAGCAAGATATCGCACACCGCATTTATCACAAGAGCGAGATGATAACCGCTTGCAATTCCCTATTGAGTATACAGAGAATGGTATGCCTTTCTTCTTTTTCATCTGATATTTTATTTTATTTCTAATCTGATATTTTCTTTGCTTTCAATGTACTATCGTGCTATCCCGTGACCTGCAGAGAGTGGGGCAGAGGGGACTCAAGACGTAGTCTGATCTCCTCTCTCTCCGGGAGATTGCATAGGGCAGAGGGGAGTGGAAGGACCTTTGCAAGGACGTCTGCAAGTCCAATGGTGGCGTTTACGACTAAAACCAAATAATATTGCTCCAAAATATCACAATATTGCTTTTCATAACTGCTGTGGTAATAATAATTAACATCTATAATACTGACAAAATTCCTCTCTTAACGTAGTGCGTGGATTTGCATCCACCTGCCACCATATTACTGGTTTAACGTTATTCTCAAACCGGAGTCGACAATGCCCGTTATCCTGTGTCTGCGTCCTCTGTTCAATCTGCCCCATGCTGTATTATGCTTGTTAGCGGTGCGTCTTGTTACTGTATTTCTATTTCTGTTGTCGTTGCTCTATTTTTTTCAATGCTTTTATTTCCATATTGCTATCAGTCACCACCACTACACCAAGGTCGTTGACGCTGCAAATTTTATTCAAAAGAAATGGAATCTCCAAATTTTCGCCCTTGGGGCTTCATCAGGGAGAAAATAATAATGAAATGGAACTGGCTCTGTAGCAAACTATAATAGCAGAGCATTGAGACATTGAGACATTGGCACTACAGAAGTGAGGAGAGGAGAGTACGAGGCGTCATACATTAGCACTATAATAAATGAATGAATGAATGGCGAGGACAACAAGAGGTGCACACTGGCAGTGGTTACATGGTGATAATCACACAAAGTGTGAGAGAAGCGCTAAAGGGGCGCAAGGGAACGCAAGCCAGAGCGCAACATAAGATTGAAACGTGTAACGTGGAAGTGAAACAACCGCACATGCACAAACTCAAACACGTCTCACCTCCCCTCATTCTATTTTAGCACTTTATTTTGTTCTCGTAACACATTATTGAATGCATATTTAATCATTGTTCAGCATGGTTACTCTTCAGTCACGACTTTCCACGGATGAATGTGACAAGAAAATTTATTTTGGTAAACTTTCATGACTTCTTTGTAGTGTGGCGATAACGGCGGAATTTGTTCTCTTTATTGCTATTATAAAATTGTTGTCTCCACGTCGATTATTTGAATAATAATAATAATTTGGAAAGGATTGGGAGAACTTCAAATTCAAAGGATCAGTCGGGGAAATGAACTGCCTGAAAAGAGAAAAAACGTCAGACCCACCAGGACTCGAACCTGGGACCCTGCTTGTCATGAGCAATGCTCTAACCACTGAGCTATGGGACCAGGCTGAACCTAGAAGGCGCTGACAAGTTTTTCACTCCAAAGGCAGCTCACAACACGTGCCACACATACTGATGGCACTTGGGTCTTTTTCCCTCCCCCAGGGGACCAACCACGGTAAGTTTCTGGAAACTACCAGAGGTGAAAGAAAGTGATTAAATTTGGAAAGGATTGGGAGAACTTCAAATTCAAAGCATCAGTCGGGGAAATGAACTGCCTGAAAAGAGAAAAAAACGCCAAACCCACCAGGACTCGAACCTGGGACCCTGCTTGTCATGAGCAATGCTCTAACCACTGAGCTATGGGACCAGGCTTAACCTAGAAGGCGCTGACAAGTTTTTCACTCCAAAGGCAGCTCACAACACGTGCCACACATACTGATGGCACTTGGGTCTTTTTCCCTCCCCCAGGGGACCAACCACGGTAAGTTTCTGGAAACTACCAGAGGTGAAAGAAAGTGATTAAATTATTATTTGGAAAGGATTGGGAGAACTTCAAATTCAAAAGATCAGTCGGGGAAATGAACTGCCTGAAAAGAGAAAAAAAACGCCGTGCTTAGCTCCGAAGCATTGCCCCTGTGGCGTCACGGAGCTGCCTTGTGATGTTGGCTAGGGTGCTCTTGCTGACGACGCCTAGCTCACTTTTTGCTGGATTTATTAGGCGGCACGGTAGGGCACGGTGGAAATTCTCTTTATGGTCTTTTAGCGTTATGAAACATTCAGACTTGGCGAGTACCTCCGTCCTGTCCGCTATGTCAAGCCGTTCCGCGATTTCTCTTGCCTCCAGGTTGATTTGACAGTACGCACCCTCCGGTGCATGCTGATACGTCTTGGTGATGTTGTCGTGTAACAGTTTTTTGTAGTTATCGACCGGCGACTATACAGGTTGCGGGTCTTGTCGGCGGGTACTATCACGTCTGGCGAATTGCTGATACGCTGCAGGTCTTTCTTCATCTTTGCTTGGAGGTCATTTGTTGTCGCTCTGAAGCTAACGTTTTCGATCATTTTGTACAAATCCTCCTCAAACGCCTTTAATTCTTCCACCTGCGGAGGGCAGTTCTTGGTCTTGAAGCCAAAGGTGTTGCGTTCCGGCGCCTTTACATCGCCTTTTGCAAATATTGCCTTCCACCGCATCCTCTTTATAACGCTTTCCACCTTCTCAATTAGTCGTTTCCGGTATTCCTTGGCCGTTGGCATCGGGATGTTCTTGAGCGAGTATCCCAAGTTGATGCGCGTAGGTGCATCCATCGTCTCGAACCTAGGGGAGAGAGTGCTCACTCACTTGAAAAGTGAGAGCAGGCTACAAAGAGCGGAGTCCTCCGGATCGATAGAGTGCTCAATGCGGAAGCAGAGCAGTAACACACGAGTCATAGAAAAACCACGCGTCTTGATTGTCGTAACTTAAAGTTTCATGCCATATAGCAATCTTCAGACAACTGATTACAGTGATGCACAGCTAGTATGGTATTTATACAGTAGCATAGGAAGGAATCTGTGAAGATTTGAGGTCTGGTGGGTGCAAAAAGTCCTGGATGGAAAATGTGCCAAACTCACATGGTCCGTGAGTGAGAAAAGAAATATGATATGGCAGGAATGCAAGCAAGGCTGTGTGAAAGGATGATAATGATTGTGTGATGATAATGATTGTGTGTTACTGCTCTGTTTCCGCATTGAGCACTCTATCGATCCGGAGGACTCCACTCTTTGTAATAATAATAATAATTATTTCAAAAGAAAGGTGTCAGCACCGACGCAATGCACACAGTCAGGTAAGCCAATTTATTAACCGAACGTTTTTGTTCCCTTCTCATCATGGGTAAATACAGGGAATAATGGAAAAATTCAAAAATACAGCAACTTATAGAGCAAAAGCATAGATTGAGAACTCACGCTATACGTGCGGAAAAAATAATATTCAGCTGAACAAGTCAACAACAGGGTGAAGGTGAAGAAATGACTAAAACATAATGAAAACAACAATGAGAAGAAGCATTCCAGACACTTTCACGAGGATTAGCACCAAACAACTGAAGCGACAAAATATTTTCCTTCTGGACACACAGTTCAGGGGACAACTTGCGAATATATAACGCGATGCTGGGTATTGGAGCGGAAGTACATCCGCCAGTCTAGGTACCTCCAGGCGCACTCTGACCTGCCGCTGATTGCTGCACTGCATGCTCATCACGGAAATCTTCCACCTACAAAGTCGATCATCTCCCAGGCAGCCACGGCTATGGAGCATTTCAACATCTCGGACGTGCAACAACTGATGTTGTTAAGTCTGCTATAGTAACCACCACCCAAGCTTCTCTGCGACAGAAGCCCCTGCATGGTCGCTATTGGCAGCGGAGTGACGGTGTATTGGACATGCCTCTCTCCTTTAACTTCTTAAAGTCTCCCACATTGCATCCATCTACTGAGTCATCTGTATTTGCTGCTCAGGATCAGGTGGTTAATACCAGGAACTACCAGAGGTCAGTTATTGGCGACACTTCCGTGGTTGACGTGTGTCGTAAGTGCGGAGGTCCGGGGGAGACTGTTGACCGTATTCTGGCATGTTGCACCGTGTTGGCACGGACAGCATACATTACTCGTCATAATCGTCTTGTTGCTGTCGTCCAGAGGGCACTATGTCGCCGCTACAAATTGGTATCTCCTGCTCCCCCGGGCCACTTTCCACACTACATTGAGGATCGCCAAGGCCGGAAGTTGATGTGGGAAATGCCAATCCCTCCAGACAGGATGGTTGGGGCGAATCGGCCGGATCTCGTTTGGGACGATGGCAAGTCAGTCCAACTTATTGACGTCAGTGTGCCACTAGATCACAGAGTAACATTGAAGCATGCTGAAAAAAAAGCGAAGTACTTGCCCCTCGCAGTAGAAACTAGACAGATTTGGCAGCGGGAAGCGGTGTCCATCGTGCCCATCATAGTTGGTGCTCTCGGTGGCATTTCGAAGCAAGGGGCTATTTCCATTAAGCAGCTGTGTGGAGAAGAGCGGCATGTTCATGAACTGCAGCAGGCTGCTATCCTTGGCTCGATGGCCATTCTAAGATCTGTTTTGGGTGCAGCATAGGGGGATCTTTGCTGTTCCTGGTGGTCTTCTTATGTTCTGTATGTTATTGTATTCGCTTTAGTTTGTAACTGAAACACTGTGATATTTCTGTGGGCACGCATTGGAGGTTGTGCCGAGTGATGAGCCTTGCCGGCCTGAATTTTTTGCCAACATCTGATGCTCCCCGTTTGCAATACCTGTTATCATGATACCTTTGGACTTTAATGCCGGTGATGGTACATGCACATGCGCCTTTCTCCCTCCCTCTCTCTCTACCTTACATTTTCCCCATTATTATTCCGTGCTGCTTACCTTTAGCTATGATAAGTCCGGTGAGCTAGTGTACTACCTCCAATTATTTATTTATTTTCAGTTTGGAGTGGAATAAAGATCCATAATAATAATAATTCAATGTACTTGAATGCTTTCAATGTACTCCAAGTACATTTTGTACTTGGACGTGAGATTGATGTGCCTTGCCTTTCAACGATGATTTTTTTCTTGAATTCTACAACTCCTTTGTACTTGCCACTTACGATGTCTATAGATATGGTGCATTGTGTGCCTCCCTGTATTCGGAAACTCCTGCGTCGATGTATGCTATGGCAATTGCATTGAAGTTTGATTTACTTTCACGCAAGCCATATAACCCTTTAGAATCACTCTATGATTTGATCAACTGTGATGGAATTTGCCAGATGAGGTTTAAGTACGCATGTAACTTGAATCACATGCAAATGTCATTTTGTCGGTATTGTGCTACTTCATGTATTGCACATTATCACAGTGCAGTATATTCGTTGTGTTTGGTGGATAGCTACGGATGATTTGAAAACCATAGGTCCTCTCTTTTTCTTGATCGCAATTCTCAATTTCTTATGGCCTATGTTAGTATGTATGACTTTACGACCATTCTCACTTGGCAGGTAACCGTAGTAGTTCTTCATCGCTGCTTTGTTGCGTCTTTATGTAAAAGACCTCTACTGGGTTGTTCACAAGGTCCGAAAATCAAATCTTGAGGCATTATGAAGCATTACCAATGCATTATTGCTACGGATGGTGCTGCCTGACCGTTGGCAGTGGACGGTTAACACAACTAACGTTATTGTACGATATACCGTCGTAGGCATGGGAGAAGCACGATCTGATTTTATTAACCCAATTTGTTTCGAATATAACATTCATAAATAGAGTGATTTTATGGTTCCATGCATCATCCCAGATTCTCCAGAGGCAAATTATGTCAGTCAAGTACAGCCTGCCAAGGATTGAAAGTTGACAACCTTAATTAATACCCACATCATGTAAGAGGGAAAGAAGGCCAAATGAGGTAGGAGCAGTGGGAACAAGAAGAAAGCATTCATGACGCCAATACAAATGTATGCACTTCCATAGTCATGATAATGCGAGGCGGTCGCAAAGGACTAAAGGGACGCTGCTCTAGGAGGGCGGCAGTTTTCCACCATGGCAACCAGGAGTGCGCATACGCGACAGCCACCAGCGCAAAGCGTTGCAGACTTGCGGCAGAGAGAGCGAATGAGACACTTCGCCGTGACCCAGGTGAGCGGCTGAGCGCACACATCTCGTAACTCACAGTCACATGCACAGTGCAGTTAGTTGTTCGCGTGTGGATTTTTTTCTGGAGAAAGCGAAAACATAGGATTTGGAAAGCGATGCATGCTGAACAAGACGTTGGATTAGTTCCTGAAAGTCACTATACTTGGATTGGTTGGAACTAGCTTCTTTGCTAACTGTAATGATTTTGTTGAGGAGCGGTTCGAATTCGTTATTTTCCCGACAGCCTGACGCCAGCCTGACTTCTGGCTTGCAGTAGAGCTCTCTTTCCGATCCTGTCAATGGTGTCAGATTTGAAAGAAAATACTCGAACAGTGATATCTATACATCGCTTGTAGAAGGAAAGGGCGAGTGCTGGCAATCACTCAGTCTTCGCAAGTAGAGAATGTCCCTGCTGATTACCAGCTGAGAGACAGTTATTCTGTGCTGTGAAACGAAGGGACGATTCTTGAAGTGGAAGAACAATCGTACTAGATGTGCCGATCTAATTGTATGCAATGTCACCCACTGGGCTGTGCTTGTACTAGAACTGAGTCCATAGCAGTTGAGCCGCATCAAGAAGATCAGAGCAGAGTGTGATAGGATTAGCGCGACGTGGATATTCACCAGTGGAATAGGACATCATGTATTTGCATTATGAACATGTCATTGCCTATCCCAAGCTCAAGTCTTAGATTGCGTCAGTGCAGAATTCATGGCTGTAATTGTTTGTGTGCAGCATCCAAACGGCAACAGCCACTTCCAAAAACTGCACATTGAGGGCTTACCAATACTAGTCACTTAGCACCGCAAGTGTGTCCGGAGGCATACCTGAAACACCATTGACGGAGCATTAACGTTATGTGAAGAAGACAGTAGTATTACCGGTGGTATCAGAGTGTCATACCACATTAGCTATTACGACAGATAAGGGATGAGATCAATATGCTTGGCAACATCAGCCAGTGGAAGTCAGGACCGCCGGAAGCAGTTTTTGATTGCCCGGTAGCATCATGGCCGTTCATACAGTTTGTGTATGATATGGTGGGTACACATGACCCCCTCAGTAGGAAACATGTACATGTACTGGTGACATTGATGATTCCCTTAAGCTGAGGTCTAATGTGAGCTTGGTACTACGTACGTATGATGCTGGAAGAGAGTCCCAGCTGTAACCAGGCGCATGTCTGAAAATTGCAAACATGTGTTTGCCAGGCAAACCATGGATTCTCCAGTCCTCGCAGGAGCAAGATGGTGCAGTCAGGCTTACACTGTGCAACCGCTCAGCGGACTTCACGTTGAACATGCTGTCCCCAGCATCTTCAATATCGCCTACATCAAGAATAGAGAAGAAAATTACAATACAATCTGCCAGGAGACGATAGTCTAATTAAAGCTCTGTGAGCTGAATGCTGTGATGATTGTCCTGCCGTCGCAGATTCCATAGCTGGAGTTACACACTCTTGGGGGTTATGTACTCTTGATAGAATGAGTAAACGTGCAATGCAACATGTTAAGAACTCGGATGGTGAGATGGTGGATTCGATCGCTTGTGCCCACATTTTTCCACGTTGCAACAACGTGTTCTTACACAAATCAATAGGAATACAAACAGCTTCAAGGAGGGTCAACTGATCTACATACCGGACACGACAAAGTAAAGAGGAAAGCGAGTTATCATACAGACCAAGACAGTCAGGATGAGACATGACTATGATGCATTTTTTAAACGGACCTCGAACATTCTGAAGAAGCCACAGAGGCAATGCCAGGGGCGGATACAGGGGGGGGGTTCAGGGGGTTCGGACGAACCCCCTAAAATAATTTCGACCATGGGTCCAGTCGATTTTTTTGTGGTACTAGTATCCACGTGCGCAGCCAGCGAAGTGTAGCGTACCGCGTAGCCTTCACTGCATGGCATGCATCCCACATGCAGTAGTCACGTACAGGCAGTGCAGGTCACTGCATGCATGCAGTGGTCGGGACTGTTGTACGCGTACCGTTCGAATCGAAGACTTGTCTGTCCGCGTATCATCAAGAGTAAATAATAGGTTAATGTACTCTTGGTATCATGTGACTTGAAACGATCGACAGACTGTCAGTTCAAGTGGTGGAGCAAAAGGTGGAAAAACTGCCACTTGTCCTCCTTACCTTCCTTGTCGTTTTGTTTCATTTCGCGCTGGCTGGACTGTACTGAGGTTTCCTCCGTTGCAGTACGAAGATATTTTTTGTGTTTGTCGTGTAGTTTGCCATGTCGCGGTGGAGAAAAAGGTGGAAAAACTGCCACTTGTCCTTCTTACCTTCCTTGTCGTTTTGTTTTATTTCGCGCTGGCTGGACTGTAGGTTTCCTCCGTCGCAGTACGAAGATAATGTTTGTGTTTGTCGTGTAGTTTGCCATGTCGCGACATCTGCCAAAGAGGCGAGCGGCCGATCAGTTGCCATTGAGCTTGGCTTCGTTCCGCCGTGTACGGCGCGAATGTGACGACACGGAGTCCCAGCCGGAGAACAGTCAGAGAACTTCGCCTTCCGTCAGTTCGGAAAATGCTGCAGGCACGGCCTTAGTTTCTGCCTGTGCTGCAGCTTTGTACTTTGTAAGGCTCTAAACGCATTACCCTTGTCTTATTGGCCAAGGGCTACCGTGACAATAAAGATTTTGCAACTCCCGGTGTACTGAACGAACCAAAATTTGGCGAAAACAGTTGGAAGCGAATTAAATTCTGTGCACTCGAAAAAATTTGACCCCCCCCCCCCCCCTGAAAAATTCCTGGATCCGCCCCTGAATGCATACAGGTAATGTTCTTAAAAAATGTACGCATCATGTTCAAAAGGACATACCTGGCAAGTATTGCTCAGAAGACTGATTACGCTTCATGCAGTGAAGGATTACTCTCTTGGGCCTGTCGTGGAGGCACTTTGGTATGGAGCTGTGGAGCTGCAAGCATACAAGAAAGGGCACATTCGGGGATGCATGATAACTGATCTTTTGCAATTCCAAATCTTCGTATCCGAAGGTGCATGATTGGAAGAGTAGATTGTCCAGATATGTTAGGTTGTTCCACTCCACACCGTATTGAAGTTTTTAGAAACAGTGAACAATGAAGTGAAGCCTGGTTCTTCGCTTTCCCAGCACATTTTAAGTTACCTTCGAAAAGAGCTTAGTTGGCTGACATCCATCACCACGAACTTCCGCTTTTGCTCCTCCAGAAACCTTTCAACGATAATGGTAAACGTCTCGCTCAGGGTCCTCTTCTTCCCGTTGCTGGTGTTGAGGAATGAGTATTTGAGGACCTTAATTAATCAAATCAAATGAGACACATGCTGCATTTCAGAAATGGAACCTGTCTAAGACCAATTTTATAACGCAAACTTCCTCTGGAAGTCAGGGAAGTTATTTCTACTTCGAACACTGGACTTAATTAATGTTCTACCTGCTTACCAGTGTCGTGGAACAGCGCTTTATCCTCTTAAGAAACTGTGTTTAAGCAAAATTGGTACTTTATGAGTGATACTTGCATTGACATTTAAAACCAGTGCATCAAAGGATACCTTGTTTTGCGCTTCGACTCCATTGTTCGTAAATACATTGTGCTAATAGTCTCGCGCAGTCCCCGCCCTCGCACACCGCTGCAAAAGAGAACACAATATCACACAACATCCAAAAAACCTACTGTAGCTTGATCTTTATTTCCCACAGTTTTCATTGTGTCGCACTACATCGCTATACTGCCATTCGCTACCTAATCACTGCCCACCATCATGCCCGCATTACTAACCACTGACTGATCTAACAAATTCTTACCTCTGGGATTGAGAGCCATTTTCCATTCAGCCAGTTTCTCACTTGCATATTGCTTCTAAAGACATCCACATCCTGCAATTTTGACTCTGCCTCACGAAAGTGCCTAAAAGACAGTATGACAATGCACACAAGTCGCAAGGTATTTCCTGTTTTCCACGTATCAACAGGTAAACGATTAGTGCGGCGATCAGGGATACAAGCTACAGAGAAAAATTACAGCGGACATGATCCTTGGACCCTTACTTATCAGGAGCTTGTCCCTCATCTCGGCATGGTGGATCATAAGCAAGGCTGCGCAAAGCCACTAGGAGTGCTGACGCTTCATCATCGTTAAGGCCATGGTTCCGGTTCTTCGTCCAGCGCTGCCAGGCTTGCTCGCAATGGAAGTCACACAGATATATCCTTGCTTCAGGGAACACCTGAATTGTTGTATATACATGTACCAGCATATATCCAACCACATATGCACATGTACACACAAACCATAAACACCATACACCAGGATACACACCATACACACACACACACACACACACACACACACACACACACACACACACACACACACACAGCATAGCATTGGGTATATAATATTTATAACTAATTATGCGGAATGCATCTTTCATCCGAGCTGCTGAAAATGAAATTCATATACAGTAAAACCTGGTTTAAGCGACCTCTCGTTTTAGCGACCATCTGCTCTTAACGACCGTTTTTCCATGCACGGACAGTTTATGCACACACTGTGGCCCGTGTAGGACCTGGTTCTGAAGACCACCTGTCTCTAACGACCGCTTTTCCTTGCACCGTGAGGGGAACTCCCACGAAAAAATGAAAATTTGATATCCAGTAGAGTTTCGGGCGCTGAGTCGAATGGTCTTGGTCCGAAGTCTCTACGAGAAAGCGTTCTTGAGATATTTCAATTTTAGTAACGCCCCTATACCAATGTATGTGTGACGTCATTGTGGCACGGTGCGAAAATACTTGATTTTGAATCTCACTTTCTTCAGGATGAAAGTCACTTCAGAAAGTAGTTTGCCAAGTCGCCTGAGCCGCTGGGATACCAAATTGTTGTGTTGTTGGTTGTGCCAGTATCACATAATCCTCCTGGGGTTTGTTTTCTCAGATTCCCAAAGGATGGAGATCTGGCAAAGTGCCGAGATGTTGCAATGCGTCTTGAAAATTTCAAGCCTATTTTCTAGGGCTGAAACGATCATCCATTTAGCCCAATCGATTACTCTTTATCATAACGATCGATTATTCGATTATAATCTTTAAGAGGCCGCACCTGGAATATGTACGTAGAATGGCCAAAAGTGGAAATATGTACAAAATTTTGCACAAAAAAAGTGTTATGTATGCAGACCTTGACCTTCGAGCTTCATGCTCCAGCTTCGTTGTACTACACTGTAGGACTGTTTTTCGATTTTGACAGCATGTAACAAGGCGAGTCGCGCGTGCAGTGCGTAAGAAATTTAAAATTATAAAAACGCAAAATAATCGTAATCGGTAATCTAAACGATTGCTCGATCGTTAGAGTTATCAAACGAGTACTCGATTATTCGGTATAATCGTTTCAGCCCTACTATTTTCACAGCACGAGCTATGTTTGCTCGCTGCATTTATGATCCAGAGGGACTTGAGAGATGGGTTTTGACGAGTACGCCGTCCAGGAAAGCCCTCATCAGTGTACCAGTGCCCTCTGAACCGTGAGCCTCCAGCAAAGCGAACTGAACAAGCTGGAACTGAGAAAGCAGGACGAGGTACGTACCATCAGGATCAGAAGAGTACATCACCCCATCAACTCAGACTGCAGCTAGCTGATGAACGATATTACCCCAGTAACTTTGCGCATACCAGTACTCAAACTGTGCACATCTGTCATCAACTGGGACGCAAACAGACAGACCCCCTTACCTCCTGTACGGTGAAGTTAGCAGTATATTGTGTAAGCAAGTGTGTTTTCTCCACATTCTTTTTGCCATGCAGGTATACCACAGTGTCATGCCAAAGTACATTCTCAAACGCATTCGTTTCTCAATTCTGGGGATGATTGGACACGCAATCTCGCAGCTCTTGACGACGTCAATGTCAACCGTCGCCACTGCACAACCAAAAAGACCGCGATAGCAAGGTAATAAAATCCAGTTCTCAAAGCATAAAGAAGACTATGTGGCCAGATAGATAATTATACGACAGAAAGAGCTATGAGTATGTTGACAAGCTCGTGTGTGAGGTGGTAGCGGTTGCAAATGGCAACCTCGATGTTCCTGCCTTGGAGCCTAGCGGAAGCGCGTTTCCCTGCCAAATTCCAGGTGGAAGCCTCCTGAGAAGGCTGAGGTGGTGCAGGATTTGGTATCTTTGCCTGATGGTATTCACAACGCAGGCTGGAAGACGACAACGAAGTGCTTGCCCAATCTGCCGTGTACATACAGTGTGTACTGCCTGTGTGCCGCATAGCGTAGAGATCTACAGATACATAGAATGTCATATGGAGTGTGTATGCTGAGTGCTTGTACACATGCCACATTTCTGTACTGTACTAATTATTATAGTCAAATACTCATTTACTCTACATATGCGCTGTATTACACCTACCGGTACCTACCTGCATGTTCAGTGCGCGCGCCATAATAATTTAGTGTCCACTGGTACAAAGATGGAGGTTCTTGTAGAATTTCCCATAATTGCTGATTTCAAATTGAATTCCAATGATCTGGGGGATGAATACTGATTAAAGGGGAAGTTAGAGCAAAAATCAAAATTTCACGAGTTGTAGTCTTCGGGGTGCTGAGTCGAATGGTCGTGGTCCGAGGAAGCTGAGACGCTCCCTTCCTACTTTAACCCCAATCGAACTCGCGCACTTCCACCGAAACTGGGTGACTGCGGTCTACTAGATGGGGATTTGTATGCAAAATGTCACTAAAAGCGATTTTCGTTCTTATAAAAGCACGGATGACCGCGATTGGCCCATATGTTGTAGTCTTTTGGACGCTGAGTCGATTGGTTTTGGTCCGAAAAGGCTGCGATGCAGCGTTCCTCCTTTATTCCCAATCGAACATGGTTGAACAAGCGGTCACGTGCTCCTGCGTACACCAGTCACCTGATCACCGTGCCTGCAGGGTACAACTTACTAGCCTGTTTGACCTTTTTTGGGTGCAGTCCTGTCACTCGAGTTGAACTCGAGTTCCTTTGTGTGAAAGTTGTCGCCTGCTGGCGCGGTGACCAGGTGATTTGGGCACCCAGGAGCACGTGACCGCTTGTTCAGCCATGTTCGATTGGGAATAGAGCAGGAACACTGCATCGCAGCCTTTTCGGACCAAAACCAGTCGACTCAGCGTCCAAAAGACTACAACATATGGGCCAATCGCGGTCATCCGTGCTTTTATAAGAACGAAATGGCGCTTTTAGTGACATTTTGCATACAAATCCCCATCTAGTAGGGCGCAGTCACCCAGTTTCGGTGGAAGTGCGCGAGTTCGATTGGGATTCAAGTAGGAAGGGAGCGTCTCAGCTTTCTCGGACCAAGACCATTCGACTCAGCACCCCGAAGACTACAACTGGTGAAATTTTAATTTTTGCCTTAACTTCCCCTTTAAGACACGTTCGATAATTACTACATGTAGTAGAAAGTCATCTTGGTCAGAAAGTATAGATGTCTTACCCTCCTGCCAGAATGTGTGCATTATTTTGGTGTACGCTTTCTTGACCCCACGCTTGTACGTTGCATGACATGGTATACTAGAGAACGGGTTTATTGACAAAGTCTATCCGTGAAATGATAAAGTATGGGTTCGGGTGTGATCAAATGCACCCATGGTGCTCATAAACAGTGTGCACTGCAGTGCTCTCTTCACCAACAGAACATTACCATACTTTGCAGATCTTGTACCAATCCAAGGGGAAATGACACAGACAAAATCTAATGTGTTTGAGTCATGCATGAAAACTTGTGATAACTACTAGCACTATTGTACAACGCTTTTCGTGCTATGCCTGACAACAATAAGTTACACACAAAACATTACGCCCATCGATCCTCACAAGACAAGTCAAGACAAACCAATTGAGGCTTACCTAATGTAAGACTCTTCTGTCACTGGCACTGGCGGCTTCTGCATGTCGAGATAACCTCGAAGAGCAGTGGTGGGCACAGCCTAATGCAAGGTTACGATCTCGTAATCTGCGGGGTCCGCTACGCAAGAAACCTTGGGCTGTCTTCTCGACAGCGACGGCAGCGTCCTGCCAGCAAAATCATTCCCGCGGGCTGGGCATGGCTATACACTTTTGTCCACGCTCGCACCAGTCGGAGTCCCAAACGAATCGAGATTCTGGTGGCCAAGCTACTCGTCTTCTGTCGGACACAGCTGCTGAGGCATCTTCTTCCTCAACATTTGTTACACGCGATGGCAGCTCCTCAGCAGAGTATCTGGGCTCCCTGCCCCAACCATATGCGGCCGTGGGTTGATGGTAGTCTTCACTGACCTCAGCATCGCTGCCTTCATTGCTGGGTACAGAGAATTGTTCGGAATAGCTCATCTTTCCTTGAAATTGTATATTAAAATAGTGCTCCGAGATTGCGACTGTGCCACAATGACGTAGGCAGGCCGGGATGACATAGCCAAATGGCCGCATGACGTCAGGGCGCGGCCCCCGTTTTCGCAATTTCAAAGTGAAATATCTCACGCACGCTTTGTCGTAGAGACTTTGGACCAAGACCATTCGACTCAGCGCCCGAATTTTTTTTTACTGTATGTACACACATATCTTCAAGCTTCTTCTCTTTACCTTTTCGATGGCAAGCATCTCAGCTTCAGAATAATCTGTCATAAAGAACTTGGGGTGCCACAACGGTGTGTTTTCTTTGATGATAGTGAGCGCTTCTGCAATTTCAGCATTTTTCTCCGACTGCACACAAACCTCTATAGGGACAATGAACAGGAAAAAGGATGAAGTTTCCTTGTTAGAGAGATTATGCGGTTACATCATCACTTGACATCTGTTGGGGAAGTCGTGGACTTATGGCACAGCACTGAACTTGCACTAGCGACTCACGATACAGACTTAGCAAACATAACCCGTATAAGATGGCTCTACCCTGGGCACATACGAGGAGAGCCCACAGACTCACACTGTGAGTAAGATGACATACGTAAAGAAGAGCAGAGCGAGGGCCCTGAGCTGGCAGCTCTCTCATTACATTAGCAATTGGCAAGTTGTCGTAACCCCAAAACGTAAACTGTTCCGTCAATAATCTATCCAATGGAAAGTATCAATTCTGTGCTTACAAAAATAATGTGTTCCACTTAGGACTTACCACCAACAACCACAACCTGAATTGGTATGGACGACCATGAAGAACAATGCCAGGTCGTAGCAGGTGGTGCGGTACTTGGCGTCCATCAGCACCAACTCTCCATACTTAATCAGTACCTCTTGCTGCCACTTTTCCTGATGTATCACCAGGAGGCGAGAGGAAGTTAACACCGGATCAATCAATGGCTCATCATCTCTGCCACCGCTGCCTTGAAACCTGTGTGAAAGTCGGTTAATGGTGAAAAAAAAGGAACATTTGTCAGAAATAGGACACAAAATAGGGCCATGTTCATCGCAGACCATAACTGACATCAGGCTTAATTGTATGCGTGTGTGTACGTGTGCCTGTATTTGCAAATAGAAACTGTCACATACCTTCCACCAGAGGGTGTTTCATTTCCCTCCAAAGACAGCTGATCACTCAGCTCGACCCGATCGGATGATTGAACTGGGGACGTGGCCACATATGGGCGAAAGTGCAACAATCGTGTAGAAAGGAGGAGGAAATGTGGATACGAGTTATTGTTATAGAGGATCACCAGATCCACTGAATCCGCTATCGGCAATCCACAATAACAAGGCCTCGGAGTGATAGAGAACGCCCATTCTATCAAGTTTCTAACTGCTTATAACGTCCCTGTAGACACTCATACAACACACGCCTTTCGATAGGCGCGGTCCTTCGATCCTTTCACACAAGTACATGTACAGTGCGTATCGCCTATAAGGTTGGCGGCTATAGGGATCAACTTCTGAAATTCATTTTCATTTGCCATACCTAAGTATACAGTTACCGTGTATAGTAATAGTCATCTATAGTAATATATTATCAAGAGTAGATAAACAAGAGTGTGCAACTCCGGATCTCTCCTGCACAATCTGCAGATACCCCCGCCCACGGCGGAATTTTTGTTGACGTCACCTTTTTCAGAGAAACGCCCATTTTGCCGCAGAGCAGTGTGAGAGCACGTGCTGGGCACCGACCTTGCAGTGTAAAGCCCGGCCAAGAGCACGAGGGACAACTTTCCGAAAGACTCGCAGTGTGTGCGTCGGCGAAAAGATTACGACAACAAAAAATTCCGCCATGGGCCTGCCCATCCGCGAGTTGCACTCTTGTTTATCTTCTCTTGATATTGCCTATTAATGATCAAATTCAATTTTCAAAAGACCTCTACTACATTATTTTTGCATCGACTAAAGAAAAATTGAAGTTGGTTGCTCCAACGAGGAGCACACGCTTCTTGCCGAACTTGACACTTGACTCGTTGGAGACTCGTTGGAGCAACCAACTTCATGACTATTACCGCCGAAGTCGCAACTTCTAAGTTCGTAAAGAAAAATTGATGTGGAATCAAGTGGTGCCAGAGGTGAACAGGAAGTTATTTCTTTGTGAAAGTTTTGCTCAGTGTTGTTTCGTGAGTCCTACTTGTAGTATTAATTGCCTAAAATACCTCCATTGTGAGGATAATGCTGACGATGTGTCTCAGGCGCCTTGGCTGCGTAGGCATGATAGGATGAATTTCTCAAAGTAGGAGTACACATGATGTACGCTGCAACCAACTATGCAGTGTGTATGTGCACGGCGCCCTGAATCTTTTGATACCCGACTCGCATACAGTACATACAGCATCGGTCAAAAAATAATATAATATCGCTTATAGTGATAAAATGCTCAAAATCAAAGACCAACGCTATAGGCGATACTGACTTTACAAGAAAGCTAACGTAAAACCGAGTCTACTTCAGTAGCAACAACTGCAAGAATGCTTCTGATGAAATAATGAGAGCGCAGCGGGCGGTCGCCATCTGAGGCACGTCAATGCACAAAGGCAAAACCGGCCAATATTGCAGAAGTATTCAATATGGCAGAAAACTACTAAACAACTCTCCGTCCTCGTCCAAACACCTATATTTAGAAGCTACATGGAATACTGTGATAATGCACAAAAGAACTAGCAGTGTTCTCCTGAACAGTTATGAGCGACTGTCCGTCACTGTAACAAACATATGGTCAGATAGTGTGACCGTGATCTAGATACCAAGCGGAGAGTACTGAGAAATTCAGCGATTCAGCGACACATCTCCAATGTGCAAACCAGGCACGTACGAACTGGTAAGGTTCATGGTATACAATCTGGTTACAGTGGTGGACCGTTGCTTGTTACTGATATCCATGTTTACTTTCTCCTTTCTACACACTGATATTAGTTCAGTATCCAAAAAATGGGGTTTTAGTCTAGGGTTATCACAAATGGTGTTCATTTAATGAGGAAACCCACCTTGTGAGCCATTTGCGTCTGGTCCAGTCTGGACTGCTGCAACTTGTGCATTGCCAGAGCGATGTGGGACTGGATGTCCTTTAATTCCGGATGATGTGCACGGCCAGTTTCCTGGGACATGGAGAAGTTAACAAAAAGAAGTACTATTATACATGTATGGTATTGAGTAACTGAGTTTTATGTTTCGTTACATTTTCGTCAGATCTCCTGTGTACCGGTTTTGTGGCACAATGATTATAGCCATTATAATTATTTGGTCGTCTCCATTCTTGTGCAATCATGCATTATGTAGGTTGGTTCTCTTCATGTTATTGTGACCAATTTCATAGATGTTGGTTGCCTTGTTGCTTTCTCTCCCCTCTCCTCTCACCCAAGCCATTCTGCATAAGCGAAGCTGTGGACGCAGCATACTGCTGCTACACTTCAACGCGGGAATGCGTATAATAATAATAATAATGGTATGGTATTCTATTAGTGACAAAAGATAGACTCCTCCTCTACTGTGAAGGAGGGAAAATCATGGAACGGCAATTAAGAAAGGGAACACGGTGCAATAGAAGGAGTGTATGCCTACTATGGGTTATGTTTATCTACTGTATGACCTACTTAACGCCCATCTGCATGTACACCACACAGCATTGAGAGCATTGAGTTGTGGGAATAGGAGTTGTTCGTCAATTGCTGTTTGCCAGGCTCGCAGTATTATTTTTACTGGCAGCAGGGTGAGTGTGACCCTGGCCGCATATTGTCAGCCATGCAACTCTCAGCAGGAAACAAACTGTAAAGTGTCCGGTGTGGCGCATGCGCCTTTCTTAACTTCATTTATTCAGTAAGATCATACCTAAGAACTTACGTTTTTGAATTCTACTTTGAATATAGTGTGCATAGCTCACGCACTTCGAAGTCCATTCTCGACCATTGTAAATATACGCCCGATTACTGCGGGGCTAAGCCTTTGGCTCAGCTCACCGGTAAGTTTTCCTGTTTCTGTTGTTATGTCACGACCAGTATGGCACTCAGCTGTGGGATAGCTAACGATGAACCTAGTAGGGTGCAGAAAAAAAACACATATACATCATACATAAAAAATCCGGTTTGCATTAGCTGTGGATTTTTCAACTCCCATCCTCCCTGCAGAGAAACGTTGTACAGGTGGAATCCTGATAATTCGAACCTCAAAATGCCGGGAAAACACTTCTAATTATCCGGACATTCTAATTATCCAAACATGAACCCACAACACAATATGTATGTCAAAATGCTCTCATGGTCACGCAGAGTTGCGCTGTGGACCTTAGAAACAGATTTCACGGATACTGAACTGACCGGCACAGCCTGCTCATGCAAACTGAACCGACCAGTACAGTGTACAGTGAACTTCGAATTACAGTTTGCTTACTTCGAATTATCAGCACAAATCCCACATGTTTTCTATGTAAGTGGAATCTGTGGGACTTCTAATTAACCGGACATATCCAGTTCGAGGTTCGAATTATCAGAAATGTTTATGTGGGAATCGTATTGATAGAAATCGGTCCTGGAAAAACTTCTAATTAAGTCAGTTTTGAGTCTCACCAGTGTCCCTGCCCTCCCACCCTTCATTTCTGTGCATATTATCATTGCTTTTTATCACTGTTTGCCGTGATGTGCTTGCCATGCCTCCATGATGCCTAATCGCCATTGGGGATATACACCCGTTTTTTTCCCTCACAACTGCGTCCGTCGGCGCGACGGTTTTTTCCCGGCTGGCTCGGCCCAGAAAAATTAATCTGACGGTCCCAAGTGGTTCTGCATCACGGCCTATTTCTGCTATCCACCGGCACGCCTATTCTATCTGAGACACTCTGTTCTCAGTCCTTGCTTCCATACCCCACACGTTATCCGGTTCACATCTGCCTGTGGCCAACTACCCTTCACTTTGTGTGTTGTCGCTATTGCTGTCTATGTCTCTGTGTATGCCAGTATATGTGGAGCGAGAAGAACGGAAATTTGGTATATTCTGATGTGATATTGAGTCGCGTGATATTGCAAGATACATGTAACACAATTTCACACATTGACTGATTGAGTGCCAGATCAGATAACATTCATATCACTTATGTAACACGGACAAATCCGATAGTGTGGGCACAAGTTATGCGAGCGATATGAACGAATTGATCATACCTGGTGCCTTCGGCAATGCTGCTGTAGGCTTTGCTCCTGCGTCCTGGGAACGATAATCCTGCTCATTCAGCGTGCTCAGTGACGTATTTTGCTGTTAGTACTGAGATGAACGGCTGCTGAAAATGTTATTGCGTCTGCGTTGTCAGTGTGACTGCTTTTGATACGCTGCCTGCTCTTCTTGGCATTGCTGCAGCTACGAGTACTGCAGTCTTCTTTCTTGGACTTGGGTACTGCACTGGTAGAATTATTAGAAGCGAAAAAGACATCACCGAAGGCGATAGAAGTATTTACACTTTACAGTCTATGTTTTGGAGCTCAACCCTGCACTACCATGACTACTGGGTCACGGCGAAGTGTCTCACTCGCTCTCCCTGCCGCGCGCAAGTCTGCAGCGCTTTTGCAGTGCCGTGGTGGCTCTCGCGTGTGTGCTTCTGGTTGCCATGGTGCCATGGTGCCATGGTGCAAGAAATCCGGCGAGAAATCCGGCAAGAAATCCGGCCCTCCTAGACCAGCGTCCCTACAATACAAAATAATAATGTAGTCTTTGTAGATCTACTCACTACTGCCAGGCCTTGACGGATTATGCTAGCATAATTTTTCGCATAATTCCTACCAAAATCGAATAATCGCATAAGTCGAGGCAAATTGCATACGAATCACATAAAATTGTAATAATACGCCTGTTCGCATCAAATTCCATACAGTTGTACATGTTCTACAAGTACAAGTACAAGTAGATGCACTAGGAAGTAATTAGTTGTAGGTTTACGACTCCCTTGATAACAATACATGTCCAGTCCACTACAATCAGTGATGGTCGTAGCTACATGTAGGTCGGACGGTGCGTTGACCCCGTTGAACTTTTGCTACTACAGTCTACAGTACAACGCCCTCTGCAAAAAAATTCCCCTGTTATTTTGCACAGAACCATTATGCATTAGCAGCATATGTGAGCATAATGCGGCATAATATGATAACTTTTAGCATAAAAATAGCATACTTCTGCAATTTTTTCAGCTATGCGAAAAGCATAATTAATATTTCACGAAAATATTAGCATAATCCGTCAAGGCCTATCTACTGCCACCGTACAGTGTACTATTGCAGTATTGGGTTTAGACTTGTTTGTTTTTTTGTTTAGTGCTTCGCTAATGCCGAGTAACAGAGTAATGCCAGTAATGGGAGTAATGCGAGGGCCTTTGACTGAGATTGTTTCCTGCATTTACATGATTGTATAATCGAAGGCAAAGAGGAGCACCAGCATATGCGGAGATCTTCCATTCTAACGGGTTGAACGTCTTGTGGCTGATATCAAGAGTCCATAACCCAAGAGTATGCAACTGTGATCTCTTATGGGCCAACCGCGCGGCGCGCTGCCTTCATTACATCATTCAGCTGCAGTCCGCGCACTGCGGAAAATCAAACACCGCACTTTCCCTCTAGTTTGAAATGAACTTTCGTACGGAACTGGAGTTCACGCGCCAGAAATCAGAGATTGTGTAGGTACTGGAACGAATCGAGCAAAAACGGATGGGCTCGTGCGAGAAATTGGGAGTTTGAATGCATGCTTTCAGAGCGTGATGAAGGCAAGTTACGTAATGAAGGCAGCGCGCCACGCATGCACCCATAATCACAGTTGCATACTCTTGGGTAAGTTGGGTTATGGACTCTTGCTGATATGGCAAAGAGATCATGTCATTCACCAATGAAGGGAATGCAGAACCCGCGAAACATGTGACAAATTTACATGACTTATTGTACTCGAAGGATGCATCCATTGATAGTGGCTGCACACCACAGTGACCTGCACGTGTTTCAAGTTAATTTTAATTAAAGGGGAAGTATACCCTAAAATCAAATTTTCACCAGTTGTAGTCTTCTGGGTGCTGAGTCGAATGGTCTTGGTCCGAGGAAGCTGCGACGCTCCCTTCCTACTTGAATCCCAATCGAACTCGCGCACTTCCACCGAAACTGGGTGACTGCGCCCTACTAGATGGGGATTTGTATGCAAAATGTCACTAAAAGCGCCATTTCGTTCTTATAAAAGCACGGATGACCGCGATTGGCCCATATGTTGTAGTCTTTTGGACGCTTAGTCGACTGGTTTTGGTCCGAAAAGGCTGCGATGCAGCGTTCCTCCTTTATTCCCAATCGAACATGGTTGAACAAGCGGTCACGTGCTCCTGGGTGCCCAAATCACCTGGTCACCGCGCCAGCAGGCGACAACTTTCACACCAAGGTTCAACTCGAGTTCAACTCCAGTGACAGGACTGCACCCAAAAAAGGTCAAACAGGCTAGTAAGTATTAGTTGTACCCTGCAGGCACGGTGACCAGGTGACTGGTGTACGCAGGAGCACGTGACCGCTTTTTCAACCATGTTCGATTGGGAATAAAGGAGGAACGCTGCATCGCAGCCTTTTCGGACCAAAACCAGTCGACTCAGCGTCCAAAAGACTACAACATATGGGCCAATCGCGGTCATCCGTGCTTTTATAAGAACGAAATGGCGCTTTTAGTGACATTTTGCATACAAATCCCCATCTAGTAGGGCGCAGTCACCCAGTTTCGGTGGAAGTGCGCGAGTTCGATTGGGATTCAAGTAGGAAGGGAGCGTCTCAGCTTCCCCGGACCAAGACCATTCGACTCAGCACCCCGAAGACTACATCTGGTGAAAATTTGATTTTAGGGTATACTTCCCCTAAGAAATGAAATTGTACCAGGCCCGCCGGAAGGCGAGCGAAATTGGTCCGGTTTGAGGGGGGGGGGTGCGGGGGATCACCCGCAGGGCATTTTTTGAAAAATCAGGTCGGAGACTCGGAAATAGCATAATTATTTGGCCCTTTCACAAGTTTTCAGGGCCCACGACAGGGAATAATTTTGCATGGATATCAATGTACAATTATTTTTATCACATTTTAAACAATGTTTGGCCTACTATGGGAGTATGGGTGCATGTAATTTATTTATCACAGCATCTCATAGCACAGTGAGAACACCGGCCAATACAAAGAGAGAGGGTGTTAGCCAACCACGGCAAGGAAGGGAGAAGGGGAGGAGAAGAAAAAAGGAACCGGCATGGATAAGCAGTGATTGCAACAAAATGAGAAACACAAAATCAAAGTAAGGTGCGACAAGGCTCTTAAAAAGGCGGAGGGAAGAAAGGTCTTTAGCTTCTTGGGGAAGTGCCAGCCACGCAGAGTACGCAGTGAAAAAGGGAGAGTGAAGTAGAAAGAAAGACTTAGGTTTCGGAAGGGGAAGGGAGTTTCTCGTGCTACGGGAAGAGAACCAGTTGAAACAGTGGAGGTGAGGTGGACACAGATTGAGTTTGAGAGAATGGATACGGGTGGCAAGATGTTATTATGTACATGTACAAGTATGCATGATCGATAATACAATTATGTACCCAGAACTTTTTCTCCCCGGTTATAGACGAATCCCAGGAGATGACCTGAGCCAGAGTTGGTCCGGCTGTCACCGGACCAAGCGGACTGGTTTCCGGCGGCCCTGAGTACGGTCATTGCAGAACAGTTGTTTACCTCGAAATGCTGAGTAGAGAATACAGTTCTTGTGTTCTAGCTAGCCGGTCCTTGAATAATGAGCATTGAAGCAAAGTAAACATAATAAGAAAAGCCATAGAGATAACAGGCCGCTGTGTGTTAGGACCGGATTACTGCAGGAATACACATCCTATGCCGACGTTGCATTCGGCCTTCATCTAAAGCAGCCTCATTTCTCGGATCTTCAAGACATCGCACACATCATTACACTTGTGTGACTTGAAGAAGGAGATCATACCACTGCTGCCATGGTTACCACCATGGCCGAATCGAAGGAGATCCTTGCTGTGGATGACTGGGTCAGTTAGATACAACTTCCGGCCAATGACGGCCCCTTGCAGATCCACGACAAGCATGCGCTTCTTGGAAGCAACCCACGTCCAGTGGGAGAATGCCTGAACAAGGTGGTTTAGCTCTGTCTCATCCTCTCGAACATATCGGCCGTTGTTATTGAACTTGATGAAGCCGCGTGGACCCACGCGTAGCAAAGCCTCCATGGCCATGTAGCGATCGCCTTCTGCAACGCCCTCAAATGCCATCACCTTTGCAACGACCATCTTGATGTCGTACTCACTGAGGAGGCCTCCGGGCACAACTTTCTTGAACTCAGTTAGAAACCTGGCTGCTGCAGCTTGGACCTCAGCATCCTCCAGGTAGCGTTTCATCCGATTGAACTGGATTTCCTGGAACTGGCTTTGCTTGACAACCAATCGCTTGTCATGGATCGTGTCAAATGCATGGTATGCCAGGCGAAAGCTTCCCATTGCGAACGGTTTGGGCGCAATCCGAACACATGCCTCGTGAGTAGTCATGACCAGTTCTCCTCCTGCTAGCAGCTGGTCAATGCTTTCTGGCATGGCAAACGTTTTGGCTACACCCTTTCGGTCCGGAATGCCGTGGAAGTGTTCCGGAATGCCTTGGGTTTCGTTCATTAGCTTCACTGCTTGTCGCGGTGTGCCCCTCAACCCTTCCAGTGAATGTTGAATACTACATTGGACTGCGTTCTCAAGATGGTCAATGAAGTGGCCTGTGTCTGGGTCGGTCACGTTAAAAGATGTGATTGATAGCTGCTTCTCTGAAGGAGAGTGAGCACGCAACATCCTGTCGAAACAGCGAATCATTCTGTCTGTTGAGCCGTTGATCCGTCCGAAGAAGTACTGGATCTCTTCTTCAGCCAAAGCTTTCATCATGTCATCAGGATGGTAGCCGTCTGGGTCCCCGTTCGGGTATTTGTCGTTGGCATCGTCATGGTAATCACTGCCATGGCAGGGGGCATCGGCAATGTGTATCAGCAGTTTTGTTACGTCCTTGCGCCACTGGAGCTTGGTAGTAACTGCGTCAAAACCGATCATGATATCCTCCGCCTGATCGTCACCGCCATCCGCCCGTATTGTGCTCAGAAACTTCTGGAACTTCTCTGGATCGTAGTCGAACGCAAACACTTTGACACGGTCACGACGCTTCACATCGTAATCGGTGTAGGCAACGAATGCGACCCGCATGCAGCACATTTTGCCATACAGCTTTTGCATTCTCTTGTACAGCTTTCCAATATTGCTCATGACAGCATCTATCCACCTTTGCATGCTGCCCGTGGCGTCAACCATAAAGCAAAGGTCAACTTCTTCGGAGATGCGTAGCTGCCGGTTAATTTCGTTCACACCGCGTTGTTTCTCTGCCAGCTTACGTGCATACTCTTTCTTCAACCTCTCTCGCTCAGCTGGGTCCTGTACATGACTGGGCATTGCCTTGACCGTGTATTCCCTGGAAGGGGTGTTCACTCGCTCATAGCGGTTCGCAGGCATAGGGGTTGCTGCCCCATCAGTATCCGCACAAGAAACTACGCTTGCTTCAGCAGCGCCCAGAAGCTCAACATTCAGCCTCACTTCACTTGGATCTGACGATAAGTCTTCGCTGTACGACCACCTTCTTTCGTTCTCCGCCGCAGCTATTGGTTCACCATACAAAAGGGTTGCAACATTTCCTTCGTCAGCTACATTTTCCACTTCCTCGGCTTCTTCAGCCCCACCGTCTAACAGTGTACGCTCGATATCCTCGGGGCTCATTACGCCGCTAGTTGCACCAGCTCCATCAATTCTCATATCACGCAGTGCGGCAAGAGGCGTTTCGAGGCGACGGTCACCAAGTCCATTGGCCCCTACACTCTCTGGCAGCCGGGTGACGTTCACACCTGAAGCAACGCTGTTCACAGCTCGCGCACCTCCCTTCTCCACTTCGCCGTCCGAGTAGCAGGAGAGAGAGGACTCATCACCCGAGGACGCCATAGTTTCCCTGCCCAACGTCAGCGAAACGATAAGAATATTGTTTCTTTCAGCCAGGGCAGTGTATGAGCTGAATCCAAGTTTCACCGAGAAGATTTCACCCATGCCAAGACCGGCAAACTCGTCAACAAAACTTGCTGTAAGAAACCTTTCTGACTTGTACGACCTGACTTCTGCCAAGTCTCATACAATGCATCGAATATCTTACAACATCTACGTTGCTCGCTCTCTGGTAGAAATACCTGTCATTTCAGACGGAAAATCGAGTCCGGCGCAGGTGCGCAAGACCATTTTCCTGCTCCCAAAATGTTTCGACACGTACTTTTTGTTGACAGTTGAAGCTGGCTGTGCAGTGGCCGTCGTCGACAAATTTCAGGAATGAGCGACACCATCATGTGCAACAGCGGCCGGATAAAAGAGCCCAAGAGAAGAAGAGACAGTAGTCGCTTCATTTGATAGTCTTGTGCTTGCAGCTTAGACAAGAACGAGGAGAAGGGGCGATGGGAGGGACCGCCTCACGGAAGTATGAAGCGAGGGAAGTTGGTAATGCCGAGAACAGCAGCGGTACAGCGGGGCTCGTAACTGCTGAGGAAACCGCCGAGACGCACACGTCGGCTGCAGAAATCAATGACCGGCATGGCCCCGAAGAACAACTCGGCGAAGAGCATGTGGACAACCCCTATACGCAAAACAGCTCCAGAGTGCAGGACAACCCAACGCAGGAAGATAGCGGCCCAAAGCACGGCCAGGATGAGCAATGTCGTGAAGTACCACCCAAACCTACTGATGGACGGGAGGCAGAATGGCGAGAATCGTCCGTGGATGCTGAGCCTTGCTGCAGTCCTGCGACTACTACTAGCACTAGCACCGGAGGCAAGTCTGAGCGTGAAGTTTCGTGTGGTACTTTGACTCGCAGCTCAGATTCTGACTCTGAACCCGAGTGTGTGACTGTGAGATTCGCACATGGTTTTGGTTCTACCGCACACTCTGATGCAGCTCGTGAGAAAAAAGACGAAGACCAGAAAATGGAGGAGTCCTCAGTGTGCAATCCAGGCGGTCAAAGTGATATGGATGATTCTGACCTTGAGCGGACAATTGTGCCATGGTCAAATGCATGCCCAGAACAAGGCAAAGCCAGGGGGGATGCAGAGTCAAGCCGACCATTACGCAGTCACAATGCTGCAAAGACTGGCGTTGTAGAGAGCATGAGAGGTGAGCTCAAACCTCTGAGAGACTACGTTGCCGGGCTGCACGGACACAGCAGCGTTGACGTATGCTTCCTAGTGGAGCTGACACAGAGAATGCAACCCTATCTAAACGCAATCTCCAGCAGCGCCAATGCTGCACTGTTCAGTCGACTTCAGGACTACACGTACCGTTGCCATGGCAATGTCAGGGTAGCTGTTGTTGGGTACACAGCGGACGTGAGTGAGAACACGTCCACTAAGCCCGTGCAGTTCATGGACTTTAGCGGTGATCCAGATAAGCTCACTGAGTTCATTTCCTCAGCAACCTTGACTCCATGTACTGGTAGGGAATGCGTAGAGCACGATACCAGTGCCTTTGACGCTGTCCTACGATTATCCTGGAGCCAGCATGCCACTAAAGTTCTGGTACACCTGACAGAGTGTGTGTGTTACGAACATGTACCGCCAGCTGGTGATAGCGATGGCGTCTCTGATCCGGCTCCTGCTAATGCTGGTGCTGATTCTGATGCTGCTTCTGATGCTGATGCTGGTGCTGGTGCTGATGTTCCTTCTGATGCTGCTTTTGATGCTGCTCCTGCTGGTGCTGCTGCTCCTGCTGGCGCTGATGCTGATTTGGCCACTAGTGCGGATGCCGCTGATGCTGATGCTACTGGTGCTGCTGGTGTTGATGCTGCTGCTGCTGCTGATGATGATGATGCCACTGGTGCTGATGCTGATGCCACTGGTGCTGATGCTGATGCCACTGGTGCTGCTGATGCTGCTGATGCCACTGGTGCTGATGCTGCTGATGCCACTGGTGCTGCTGATGCTGGCACTGATGCTGCTGATGCTGATGCTGATGCTGGTACTGATGCTGGGACTGGTGCTGGCACTGATGCTGATTCTGCTCCTGCTTCTGATGCTGCTGCTACTGCTGCTGCTGCTGATACTACTGGTAACAATGCTGTTGTTAGTGGCGAAACAGCAGCTGTTGCTGTTAGTAGTGATGATGCTGCTGCTGCTGTCACTGCTGATGCTGAAGATCATGCGGTCACTGTTGCTGCGGGTATTGAAGCTACTGTTGCGGATGTTGCTTGTGGTGCTGATGATGATGCAGGCGGTGATGATCTTGTTGATGCTGCTGCAGCAAGTAGTGATACTGCTTCTGGTGATGCTGCCATTGGTGCTGATGATGATGCAGGCGGTGATGATCTTGTTGATGCTGCTGCAGCAAGTAGTGATACTGCTTCTGGTGATGCTGCCATTGGTGCTGATGATGATGCAGGCGGTGATGATCTTGTTGATGCTGCTGCAGCAAGTAGTGATACTGCTTCTGGTGATGCTGCTTCTGGTGATGCGGCTTCTGGTGATGCGGCTTCTGGTGATGCGGCTTCTGGTGATGCGGCTTCTGGTGATGCGGCTTCTGGTGATGTGGCTGCCAATGGCGATGTTGATGAGGAGTTGATGCTTCTTCCACACGGTCTGAGCCAGGTGATGAAGGCACTTGTCGGAGCTGAAGTTCAGTACATCTTCGGCCGGGTGAGCGCAAAAACAGATGAAGTGCTAGACACCGTAAACAAGCGACTGCAAACCATGTCAAGCGGCACGCACCGCGTCACATCCTTTGATGCCTCCGACCCACTGGACAACACGTTCACAGATCAGCTTTTCTTGGCTATCAAGTCGAGCATAGCATGCACTACTGCAGCTCTGCCATTGCCTGGAATCAAGCGAACTGCCTGTGAGCGGATCCACAGTGCTGATGACGTCAGCTTCGACGGAGCCATGACGGAAAACGTCCAGGTGATGCACTTCAAAATGCCGTCATCAATCAGAGATGTTCTCTCCGAGACGGGCATGGGCCTGCAAACCTACCATGCCAAGCTGAAAATCTCCCAGGAAGCGTACGCAGTGAATGGCCATCGTCTTGCATATCATGGTTTCAACACGGCTAAGAACAAGCGAGTCGTTCTGAAGCAAAGTCAGTTTCAGGAGCTCAAGTACAATCGGCTCAAGCGCTACCTTGAAGATATGGAGGCTCAAGCCATCATGGCCCGATTCCTGACGGACTTCATGAAAGTCCTACCGGAAGACGCTCGCAAAGGCAAGAACGTGTCCGTGCTTGTGGTCAAAGCCATTGAGCTGGAGCGCTACTGTCGCCGTGAAGACAAGTACATGATCATGGAGCCATTCCTCGCCGGAGTACTAGCCCCTGCGGTCACCAGCCCCGCTCACTATGCCTCCCGGAACAGCATAGAAAAACTACTGAAAACGTTCAGTCACTGGAGCTACGCCGAATCCGCAGGCAAGATGGTGATTGCCGACTTTCAGCGAAGGTACCAAGGCGATGTCACCTATCTTTCCGAGCCAGCCATACACTGTACAAATGAAGACCGCTTCCCTGCCACAAACAACGGCCACGACGGAATACAAGCGTTTGTGTCCGGCCACGACTGCAATGGAATGTGCCAGCTTCTCTCTCTGGAGTCCTTCAAGACACTGTGAGTAGCTGTTACATGACTGTATGGATGCATGCACTTGGATATTCAGAAGTCAGTTTCACTGGTGAGGCTGCACCGAGGAAATGGAAACAAACCTATCAGTTCAGTTTTCAGCACTTTCCAAGACCCTGTTGGAGTGTTGGGTACATTTTGCAGACTGACAGCCCTACAGCCCCACAGCCCCATGCCTCTACTACCTTGTCACCATTGTTTCACAACGTGATCCTACCCACATTATGCTTCTTTCAAGTTAAAAGTTGATTTGTTTGTTACCCTTTCAACAGTCAAGAATTTGGCTGGACGCTAACTGCAGTTTTAGAGTGTTTGTGCAAAAAAGTGAATACCGGCAATCGCAATAGTTTCTTTCATCATTTCAGTTTCTGCCATTTTTCGTGATATGAATGTAAAAATGCACTCCTAATAATTATGTCTCCAGGCACAGAGGGAAATGCTTGTGGCATCTAAGTTAGTTAGCTGGGTGTTCCTCGTCGTGTGCCACTGCTCAACTGCTGCTTGCCAATCACATCATTTCGCATATACTGTTTCTCTGATTTCGTACATTGCCCTTTTGAAGAAGAATTTGATGCACCAATACTAGTGTCACATCTTGAAAGCCATGCTGATGACGTGGACTAATTTCTGCCGGGCAGCAGAATGGCTTTCCTTCACGGTTAAGGCTGCACATTTCTAAAAGAGGGATCCGGTCATAGTGTTCTAGCCAGGCTTGAGGTAGACACACCTGATTGCTACCGTACTTTGCCCCTTTTTTTATGTTGTCGGACTCCGACTCTACCACTCACAGGATTTCTATGAAATGAGTCAGTGCAAACATGGGAGAATACGCACATGTACAAGTTCGAACTCGAAAGTTTAGCCAATGTTATCATAGAAAAGAGGAAGGATAAAACTGTGTTCCGAGTGACGGCTAACGTACATGCACTCGCGGGATTGGTTCTTCAAAGTCCTTCACGGATGGGGCACTATTCGAGAGAGGCACTTTTTTCAATGCTTGTACATTCAAGCCATCCAGCACTAAAACGAAGAAGACAAAGAAGAACAGAGTCAAAAATTTACGAAGAACAGAGTCAAAAATTTACTGTTCTAAAACCGACCTCAAACTTACTTGCACATGCACTTGATTTCAAGCCGGGGGTGGCCTTAGAGATGGATTTATTGTGCACCAAAGTAACCTGATCAGATACAGCGCACAGTCAGACATGTTGCGAAATTACTCAAGGGTGGGAGACTGGTTGGATCATGAGTATCAGAAGCTGAATTACTTTATTTATAGTACCTGACGATGTCAGAAGCAAACAACTGTATCAACATTGCCACACACGCAACTGTTACAAAGCTAGCCTGGAGGAGCGAGGGGGGGGGGGGGACTCGTATTGGCATGCATGTAGCCAGTCTGATAATTGCAAACAAATGTCAGAATAGCATAATAATAATTATTATTATGAGGAACATCACCAGGATCCTGCCTTGCATCAGCCCGCAGTTTTATCAACAACAGAAGTCGCTAGTCTTTGCTTACTTTTAAGTTTCAAAGTTGCATTACTGTACACAATATTCATAGCCTTGAACAAACTTTGACGCGCTGAATAGCTAGATGATGATGGATCACATTTTCGAAATAACACAATTCTCACATGCCACCTCACACAACAGAAACGGGTGTGAGGTTCAGAGAACGGCACACTCTGTTGCACTCGTGGCCAGCAAAGAACATGCGCATGCCCTGCACTCCGTAGTTGGTCGTCTTGCCAAAGCGCTTGGCGTCGGTGCAGTGAATGGCCGGGTCGGTGAGATAGGTCACGCCGTTGTGAACGCTACCTTGGAGATCGACGACGATCATGCGCTCTCGGGATCTGGTGTATGTCCAGTGGCTGAACGCCTGCATAATACGCTCCAGCTCGCTACCAGCACACTGGCTATAGGCATTGTTGCTGAACTTGCTGTAGTTCCCGGAGAGGTACGGCTCCATCATCATGTAGCGATCCTCCTCGCAGAATGCACTCTGCAACTTTATCACCTTTGCGATCAGCACCTCGATCTTTTGCGCAGCGGCACTCGCAGTGGCCGGCAGAGCTTTTTTGAAGTCGGCCAAGAAGCGAGCAGTGACCGCCTGCATCTCCATGTCCTCGAGGTAGCGCTTGAAGCGGTTGTGCTCCGGATTGGTGAAGCGGCTCCGTTTCAGGACGACGCGTTTGTTCTTCGCGACGTCCAGACCGTGATAGGCCAAGCGCAGGCAGCCCTGTGCAAACGGCTTCACGGCCATGCGCAGCGTTACGTCATACTTCATCAGCTTCATGGCCGTACTCCGGAGAATGTCGTCGTCGATGGACGCCGGCATTTCAAAGCGCATGGCCACAGCGGCTGTGATCGGTAGCCTCTCCAGGTGCATTGGCAAGGTGGGATCAATTTCCCTGCATGCTGGTCTTGTCTCAAGTGGTGTGCGCAGTTCGCTGACCGAGTGGATGATGCTTGAACGTACGGCCGACAGCAGAGCGGTAGAGAAGCCCTCCCCCTCCGGAGAGATGGCATCAAACGTCGTGATGGACAGGCGTCCGTAGGATTCCCGCTTGAGGCACTCATTGAACACATTGATCATTTTCCCTGTATGCCCGGTGATCTCTCCAAAGTAGTACTGAATGTTCTCACGAGCCATCACCTTCATCATATCAACATGAGACCGTTTCCAGGGGTCCCCTGAAGGATAGTCGTCACTGACTTGCCAATGGTGGTAGATCCGACCGTGACATGGCTGATCCGCAATGTGAATGATCAGCTTCGTGACTCCCTCTCTCCACGATAGCTTGAAGGTCTCCTCGAATCCGGTCATCACGTCCTCTGCAGCGTCAGCACCACCACCAACATACACCTTGTTCACAAAGCTGTAAAACTTCGTGGGAGATGTCGTAAAGTCTAGCTTGGTCGAGGGCCGCTCCAGTTTGTACCACCTGTTTTCGACATCGTAGTAGCCTACGAATGCAGCTCGTATGTGGCACTGGCGGTTATAGATCTCCTGTATGCGCTGGTAGAGTGTCTTGATGTTGTTCCTTACAGCTACTATCCACCTACCCATGCTCTTCGTACAGTCCACCATGAAGCACACATCCACACTCTCCGCCTGGCTAAGCTGCTCACCAAGTACATGCAGTGCTGGGGGCTTGCTAGTGCCATCGGCCGCCGAGGACGACTTCCTCACCTTTTGCTTCCCTCTCACTTCCTGGAAAAGGTCCTGCGCTAGAACTGTTCCCGCATCGTCACTGCTTGCTTCTGAATTTGCAGTTTTTGATCGGTGGACGTCCAAGTCTGAGACAGTTTCGTCGGCAAGGACTGTACGTTCTGCGAGCCTGCGAGCACCGCTTGCCGTGGATCTGCTACTGAGTCTGTTCACGGTCCCATTCGAAGTGGCCAGGACTGTGTCAGCGTCTTCGCTCTCCATCATTTCTGGTCCGCATCGTGAATCAACATCCGACGTCAGGGACGACTCCGGCTGGCTCTCGGACGTGACCGAAGCACCAGATCTTGTCAAATCCGCAGTAGAGAAGTCACACGAAAGCCAACTTGCCGCCGGAGACTCTGTCACTGAGTCCCGGTCGTTTGCAGCCACACCCGTCGCCGCCACAGCAGCAGCAGCAGCACCACCACCAGCTGCTGCCCTGGTTCTCGCCAAAGGAAAACATTGCACCCCCTCACTCCCAGCTAAAACTGTTGCTGCGGACTCGTCGCTAGAACTATCTTCGTCGCCGTTCTGCTCGGCCTCAAGCACTGACCGCCGTAGAGAGTCTCGTCTGCCAATGGCCGTTTTCTTGTCGCGTAAGGACTCCGCCATCACCCTTGGAACTGGCACACGAGATGTCTACAGCATCGCAAGACCTCTTTCCTGCAGGCCTGTTGAACGTTTCCCGATCCGTGTGCAACTAACAATCACTTGCTAACTCGATGGACAGTGATTTCGGATGAGCGAGTTAGCGGCGAAGATGATTCGCTGCACTGCTCCAACGCCATTCCAGTGCACTCGATTCAGCTTTCGAAACACCCAGACTAAAACGATGTGCGTAGATCTATTGACTGCGCAATCAGTAATGGCCAGTCGACCACACTACTGCTAGTACTGGTCCACACCAACTTTCGTTTGAGGATGGGCCTTCCCCGGGTGCTCACTGTCTGTTCCTGACACCGTATTCAGCAACTAACCATTAGGCTAACTAAACGTGTTACTTCATGCACACGTTCACGAAGTGAACTTGCTTCTGTTGGAACAGTGTACAACTCGCCAGCATAGCAGTAGGGAATTGCTAAAAGTTTCGATTGTCGCCGCTTGACACCAACTCGCCTGGTGCAGGATCTAGGAAGGCCAGCACTTTGTTCTCGTCGTCGAAAGACTTTCCGTACTAACCAAAGCTGTCCCCAAATGCAAGAGGGCCGACGATGGCCGATACCTCTGGCACAGTTCTAGCATTTTTTGCCTAATCTTGGGTCCTGCTCCAACGAAACTTTGCGCCAAGGAAGAAGACCTTTGCCATCAAGATTGCCACGGAGTGGGAGATTTTGTTCTCGCGCTGCATGGCCGAAAGGCGCAAAGAGAGTCGGTGCAAGTGCAAAAGGCTAGTCGATTGCGTGAACCCATTTCGTATTTTGGTTGGGAACTATATTGGGTAGAGTTTTCTTTCTGTGAGGCTGCCTGTCGATAGCCATGGCCGAGTGCAGTGAATCCTACGATTCGGAGATTTCGGTACACGGATCAGCCAGTGCTTCGTCCGAGCGGGACGACTACATGGTGCTTGATATGCTGAACGTCGACGAGGATGCCGGCACGGAGGTACTTGATGATCACCTGGATAGAGAGCTCGAAGGGCTGACACTACGTGGCCCTTCTGTAAGCAGTGAAAGCCGCGTGGAAGAACGACGACTCAGGCATGCTCACTTCGACACGCCTGCGTTCGCACCAGCCACTCCGCACCGAGAACCAGCCGAAGACGGAGACAGCGGCCTCGGTAGTGTCCTTTCCACCATTTCACTGGCCCTGCCAGAGTGTGACGCTGATGAAGCTGTCGCTACCGTACTGGCAGAAGGTGAAGGCGCAGCCTCAGATTCCGTCACACTAAACCGCTGGATACACGAGGGCGGTGAAGAAACGGCGAGTCGACTGGACGTTGCTAATCCGATCAATGTAAATCTAGAGCTATCTTCATCGGATCAGACATCCGTTCTTGCCAGTGATGGATCTGGAACGCGACCAGAATTCAAGGGTAATCCTGGCAAACGATTTGTGCGCGTCAAAACCTCGACAGGCCTTTCCACAGTGAAGGAAGTCTCTGATTCGGTCACGGCTGAATCGAATACCACTCCAACGGAAATATCACGCCGGGAGGAGCTACGGCGCGAGCGAATGCAGAAGCTCCTGGAGGAGAAGAAAGCCGGCATTGAAGAGCTGAACAGGTTGATGCGACTGGCCCAAAGTGTGGACGTGTGTTTCATGGTGGACAGTACAGGAAGCATGCAGAGCTGGATTGATGGAGTCAAAAAGAACATTCATGCTCTCTACGATCGAATCCAGAAAGTCTACAAGAAGAGCTGTCACATGCGTGCGGCTTTCATCGCGTACACAGACTTTGACGTAGCAGAAAGCGAACGTGTGAAGGTTTTTGAGTTCAACCTCTACCCGCAGGAGTTCTACCGATTTGTTGATAGCGTCAAGGCCCATGGTGGCGGTGACACAGCGGAGGATATCATGGGAGCATTTCACGCCATGTTCACAAAGCTCTCCTGGAGGCCAGATGTGACAAAGCTACTCATCCACATTGCTGATGCTCCCTGCCATGGTAAACAGTACCACAACGGCGTCAGTGATAGCAACCCTGAGGGAGATCCAAACCGCCGCACACATGATGAAATGATGCGGAAAATGGCGGAGAACAAGATCCAGTACTTCTTTGGCAAGATCAACGATAGTACCGACAAAATGATTGGAATCTTTGAGCAGGCCCTACAGATCAGCTCCAGGGGTGACCTTTCGATCACAACGTTCAGCAGCGTCGACCCAAGCTGTGGGGATTTCCTCGAGTCGCTGGAGACTGCCATCAAGTGCAGCGTACAGCACTCCATGGCGGCGGCGCACTGCAAAACGGAGCGCCCGGAGTGCAGGCTACTGGACAAGACACTGCCGAAGGACTTTCACGGTGTGCAAGATCGTCCGGGCACTGCTGTGCGTTTTCACATGCCCAAGTCCATCGACGCACTCATGGACGGTGCCGGTATACAGATCGACAAGTACAAAGTCATCATTCGAGCAGCAGCACGCCCCTTCGCCAAGGGCTCGGCACGCCTGGCTTTTCATGGTGTGGAGCGAGTCCACAAGAAGCGCGTAGTCCTGAAGAGCAGCAAGTTCGAAGAGGTCATGTACAACCGCTACAAGCGCTACCTGGAGGACGCCGAAGTGCAAACCGTTGCGGCCAAGTTTCTCTCGGATTTCAAGAAAGCACTTCCAGCGCCGTACAAGGACCGATATCGCATGCACATGATTGTCTCCAAGGTGGTCGCATTCGACAACGCCGCCAGCGAAGGTACAAAGTACATGGCCATGGAGCCATTGCTGCCGCCAGCCGATTACGAGAAGTTCACCAATAACTACGACGTACAGCCCTCGGACACGCCGTTCCTGGAGACCTTGCAGGCTCTCAGTCACTGGAGCTGGGTGATTTCCAAGGAGAGAATGATGCTGGTCGACCTGCAGGGCGTGCCCAAGGACGGCATCATCTACCTCACCGATCCAGCTATCCACTCCAAGAACCTGCTGCAGTTCGGCTACGGCACCAACCTTGGCGTGCAAGGCATGATCAAATTCTTTGAGGCGCACCGCTGCAATGATATCTGCCGAGCGTTTGGCTTCAAACCCAACCCAATGGTATGATGCCCCTAGGAGAGCAGCTAGTAATTATCATAATGTACATATGACAATGATGGTGATCAATGATTATCATACTCACTCCAGGAATACATGCATGTTGAACTGTCTCTGCTAGGATGATGACTCAACCCTTGCTTACTTCTATGTAGAGTATCACTGGCCGAAGGTGAGGGTACCTCGTTCAAGTTCTGGTCGAAGTTTTCTGCAGATTTATTTTCCCTTTTTCCCTCCCTTAAACTCTTGAACACTGATTCCAGCTGATAAACCCTACAATAAACTCAAGGCTCATAGTGACACCGTGGGATGACCTTGGGTATTGTTTTACATGCTACAGTGGACACATGTACAGTTTGTACCTTCCTGACCATGCTCTTTTTAGTTAAATTTCTTTTTAATCATTAATTTTACGGTAGATGAAGAGCTGTGTTTGGCCTTTTGGAGCTGAGTTCTTTTCAAAATGTCAGTATTATATGACCTTGATGGACTACAATATGTTAACATATAAAGCAGTAGAAGACAATGCTTAGGGGGCATGGGTCCAATCTGAAGCTGCTTGATGCATGGTGCTACTGCCACAGCGAACATGCCGCAACGGCCATTTCTGTTTCCATAATATCTTGATGAACACAGTCATTGTCGAGTGCATCTGTTGTGTGTGGGGAGTACTCGAATACTAGTGCTAGTAGTAGAGCTAGTTCGTTGACCTAGGACTTGAGAGACTACCGAGTACCGTGTCATTCATGCGCCTGGCTACTTTGCCTGAGTGCAAAACTGAAATGGGCTAGAGATCGGCATCGGCTCCTAATGCTCATCTATTCTGCAAAATTAATGCTTTCGGCACTGATCGTTATTTCACCAAATAATGCCAGTTTGAATGTTCTTTCTGCACTATATTGCTTGCAACAGATGTGACAGATGTGTGGACAAGAAGTTGAAGAACTTCATAAAATTCAAAACCAGCTGCAGCATAAGACAGTGTGGTATAATTATATACAAGTACTTGCAGGCATTCCTTCAGCCGTTCAGGCTTCAATCAAATCGACTTGTTTGATTCATTGCTGTGTAATATTTGTCGTACGGTATAACTATAAACTCGACTCCCTGTTTGAGACTTTGAGAGTGAGGATCCTACAGGTAGACCATGGTAGACTAGTACTAGTAGATCTACGTACAAACATAAGATGATGACTGTAAGCGGTCGCAGGAAGAATTAACGGTTAACCGATAAAGATAACGGTTACGCAGTAACTTTTCAGTCAATTTTTCAAGTATCAGGTCGTTGCAAAGTATGCATTTTCGCAGGCTGTCGCACGCTTACGCAATTTCTGGGCTGTCAACTCGGTCATATCTGGTCTCTTGGTGTGTGTATGAATGAGCATGCAAGAGAATGTACATGTGTGCGTTGTACTGAATAGGGTACATTTTTTGAATGAGTATAGTCAAATATACGGTTAAAAAAGAGTCCGCAGGATTGCCGTGGCTTATAGGTTATAACCGTTAAACCGACCGTTAGCTTAGCGCTAGCAGTTAACCGTTAGGGGTAAAACCGTGACCGTTTGATGAGTTCACAAAGAACGAAACAGCATGCTGTCCGCAGATTGAGTACAAACCAGGGAGTCATAGACCCAGGCCAAGGAGTCGTATACCCTCCCTGGTACAAACATAGATTGATCACTGAAGACTGAAGTCGAAAAGCAATGCACTTGGGTCGTAACCATGGTAACGTGTTTACACAGACCTGCGTGAAGAATCATCTTTGAGTGAAGAGCTGGAGCTGAGGCCGGGTGAAATGAAAGGTCCAGGGCTCGCTTTATCCTATCGTCCACGACTTGTGTAACCATCAAGATATCCAGACACGTCGGAAGTAGCACGTTTGTTTTGTCGTAGAATACTAGATCTGCTGACCTGTGCGGCACTGAGCGGTGCCGATTTATCGGATTTGAGGAGAATAGTGCAGAATGGCGGCCGGTCGCATAAGCTGCCTCAAGGCCGTGTTCTGCCTGCTAGCGATTACTCTGCCCACTGGCAGGGCAGCGGTGGACAAGAAACCGAACTTCGTGTTCTTGCTCATGGATGATGTAAGAAATATTTCCTAACACTGGCGGCATTTGTACTGAACATGGCTTCCCTTGCAGTGCTAAGTGCTCCGCGATGTGGAACATTGCGGTGAATCCACTCGTTCTGGACCGACGTGCTTGTAAAAATGAGTTTGTGACCATGTTGGGCAGGGTTGTATAGCATGGTAGATTTACACGATGAATCCTTACTTTTATGGTCATGGCCAGCGATGCCCGATCAGCTACGGCTCAGTCGTTCTCTCAGCAGACACCGCTCCAGCTAGTATTTGACTGCGCCGTAGCTGGTGGAGCATCATTGGCCATTAATTAAGTAAGGGGCTCCTGGCTCGAGTCCTGTTGGTGACAGTCATTGTTCTGAATGAAGCAGTTTAGATTCTTGATTTAGTGCGTTGATATGCACGGACCACAATGTATGAAATTCTACAGCTGCGCTCGCTGAAATTTGACCCAGAGTACAAAACTGGCGCCCCTGACCATTTTCGATAAAATTACTGTACTTATACAAGTGTACGTCCAGCTGCATTCGTACCACTTCCAGGGCGTCAAGGGCCATCACAGGTCCCCATCGCGATTCCGCGGCCGCGTTTTTTCCCGTTTTTTTGCCAATTTTTTGAAAGACCGCGTTTTCCGCGATTTTCCCGCGTTTTTGAACTTTTTTGTTGCACTACACGTACACACAGTGCACTGTTCGGTCAGCAACGTCTCATCGTGGCGGCTTTGCACTCAAATATGACGAGTGCTTACACCAGAGACTTGTAACTGATTGATTTCACCACATACTCACTGAAAATTGCCTCATATCAACTGCAAACTTGCCGCATACTATTCACCGCATATATACCGCAAATTCACCGCAAATTATGCCAGTTTTATCCGCAAATTATGCCATATTTACCCGCAAATTGCACCGCAAATTCTGGGATTTTTCCCGCGATTTTCCCCGGGGACACTGACAGGTTGAGGACGGCAGATATGCACTTTGGGTTGGATTGCACCACGCACAACAGCACTAGTGGTAGTACCATGACCGGTATTCTTTGTTCAGTACGAACCCACAGATTTACCAGCCAAACATGCTTTGCGTGACGTACAATTTGTTTGGCTGTAAGTCCATGTCAACTGGCTTTCTATTTATTGGCCAGAGACCTGGATAAAAGAGACCGGAAAGGCGATGTCTGACCGTGGCATTATTGGTATGATTCTGATGACCTGGTGCTGCAATGTGCGTACAGATGGGATGGGGTGACCTTGGAGTGTTTGGACACCCCGCTAAAGAAACGCCCAACCTGGACAAGATGGCTGCCGATGGAATGACCTTTCCGGACTTCTACTCCGCAAATCCCCTCTGCTCGCCATGTAAGATTGTGGTCCATCAACACAAACACTCAACCACGGCCTCTTTGCTGCATACATCACTAAAAAATGTTCACCAAATTTCCGGGCCTGGCCCATCATCAGAGTTAAACAAAACTAAATGTAGTATGTGAGGTTGTCATTAGCTTATAGGGAACTAACATACACAGCTGTTCATGTTCTGCATCATGTGAAGGATTACCGGTAGGGAATGGGGGAGGCAGAACAGTGCCTGTCATTGCGTGCTCTCAAACAGTTACACTCAGGATAGGTTACGCAATATGACATTCAGACCTGACCAACGGAATGCTGCTGTCTATTTATGGTGCTGGGCACTTTGTAAGTATTGAATTTTAGATCCTGGAGAGGGGGGGGGGGGGGTGTTAACATAACGTGATATTGCTATTTGTACATTATGTCCCGGCTTAACAAATCCAAATGTATGAGTCAGCTCCCTGTATCCCCTATTCTGTTCTGCACAATCCTGCTGGGACTGATACTATGTAGCACGGGCAGCATTGATGAGTGGCCGACTGCCCATCCGCAATGGCTTCTACACGACCAACGCACATGCCAGGAATGGTGAGTGATGTCTGATGACGGTGTGAGTGCTTGATGGTGAAGCAGCAATAGATCAAACTTAGCATAAATTTTACCACATAATACCATTGTTATGACAGCGTAGTTTCATGCCTAGTCTTGATCATGTCTCAATCTCCTTCTTCACCACCACGGTTTCACACTGTAATCGTCGTAAATATCTCTCCGAATGTTCGGCCTAGGGGATTCATCAGGGAGTACACAAATGTGAAGCTAGGTCAGCTGCAAAAATATCAGTATAAGAATGACAACTAGTCTTGATCACAGAAATAGTAACTGCACTGTGATCACAGAAATAGTAACTGCACTGTGATCACAGAAATAGTAACTGCACTGTGATCACAGAGTACTTAGAGAGTGCTGACGGTGTGCTGTTAAGAGTGGTGAATGAACAGAGGACAGCTGTGCGTTGGACGGCCTTTAGAACACCGACATGAGCTGTGCATTCCTCTCCATTGGTACGAGCACACCGATCAATGTTCATGCTCTCATCGCTTGTTTTCGTTCATTGACGCAGGGTACACTCCACAAGACATCGTGGGTGGGATTCCAGACAAGGAGATACTGTTCCCCGAGCTGCTGCAGAAAGCCGGATATAAGAACAAGATCATCGGGAAATGGTAAGAAGCTATCCTCAAGACCGAGGCAGCATAGAAATCATAAGTGCTGGAAACATTACATATTTGGAACTTGAAGCAGCTGGCAGACATACACAAAATTGGCCTGCGCAATGGATAATACAGTGGACCTACCCTTATAACGATATTTGCGTCACACCAAGAAATTTTGTTATAAGGGTAATATTGTTATAGGGGTAACTGGTTCATTTCATACACATACGTCATAATGCATGGATTTTGTTCATTTTTTACACTCCTCAAAGCATAAATAACTGACGTACATGCACATTATGTTCAGAGCAAGGTGCCCACTGGTGCCCCCATTGCATTTCGTCATGTCCCAGCGACTTATCAAGTGAAGCTTGCCCTACCTGGATAGTAGGATTCCCTCTAGATCTTTACTTATAAAGAAGAGGCACCTGTGACGTGTGTCTGTACCAAACTCAGCATCACTACGGCATTCAGACACGAGAACGGCATCATCAGCATACTCCAGGTCACTAACAGACAGTGACTCGCCAGCCCTGCGCGATGATGAGCGGGGGTAGAGTTGGCCATCGATGGAAAACTGGATGCTGACAGAGTGACTACGACCTGCATCCTTTAGCCGGGCACGCCATGTCTGAACAACCGCCCCGAAGTACAGGTTAAAGAGAACGGGTGCCATGACACATCCTTGTCGGAGACCATTAACCACAGGGAACTCATCAGAGGTGGAGTTGCCAACTCGGACCGAGGCAGAGGTAGAGGTGTGGAAAGCCTTAATCAGGGCCACTAGCTGTTGCGGGACCCCAAGTCGGCCCAAGGCCACCCAGAGAGCAGCGCGTGGTACAGAATCGTACGCCTTTTTCAAATCCACAAACACACAGAAGAGCTGCTGACGATGTTCGTATGCTTTCTCGATTAGCTGGCGGAGCGAGAAGATGGCATCAACACAGCCCCTGCCTGGCCGAAAGCCGCTCTGGGACTCTGGGAGTTCCGACTCAGCCAACAACTGCAGGCGATCTTGAATCATGCGGCCACACACCTTGCCAACAACATCAAGAAGGGCAATACCCCGCCAATTATCACATTTGGACAGGTCGCCCTTCTTGGGAACAGGAACCAACTCGGCATCGCGCCATTCCTGCGGAACAGTGGCCGTCGTCCAAGCAAGTTGGACGAGATCCAGCAATGCGTCCAGGGAATCATGGCCACCTGCTTTCACAAGCTCGGGGACTATACGCGAGGAACCTCCAGCTTTGCCATTTGCAAGGTGTCTGATGACGACGACAAGGTCTTCCATTGTTGGTGTGACTGCCAGAGACTCGTCAGGCTCACGTTGAGGGATGTTAGCAACGGTGGAGGCATTGAAGGTACTGGGGACATTGAGCAAGTTCGAGAAGTGAGTGGACCAGCAGTCTTCCTGCTCCTCCAAAGACGTGCAAACTATGCCCTCAGCATTACGGACCGGATGGATGGTGACGGATCGGAGTCCTGAATAGCACCGTTGAATGTCTCGGATGGCGGACCAAACGTGCTTACCACTAAATTTGCCACGCTCCACAGTGCTAGCTCTCTGCTCCAACCATGCACTCTTCGCTGCACCAACTGCGGTACGCCATCTACCTCGGACATCGAGGAAGCGGCGGTGGTCCGCTGGCAGCTCTGATTGACGCCACTGTTGATGGAGGCGTGTGCGCTCAGCAAAAAGAGGTTGGAGGATGTCTCCTGCTGCTAGGAACCAGTCTGGTTGTAGTCGAACGGGTTTGCCCAGGTGTGCCTCAGCGCTGGAGGTCAAGGCAGATTTGTATGCCGACCACTTGGCATCAACGGTATCAGCTGGCCCAGACGATTGCAGATGGTGTTGCACACCGGAGGCGAATTGGAGCCGAGTAGCCTGCACGGCATTAGATTGTTCGTCGGTCATACCAGGGCGGGTCATGAGAGCTTGGATATTAAAGCGTGAACGCCGTGCTACTCCGGTGCGAAAGTTGACGGTGTACGACAGACAGAACGATAAGCATACAAGATTGTGGTCGGTACTACACTCCGCACTACGGATAACGCGGCAGTCTGTGCAGGCTAGCAGATCTTGCCGCCTGACAATGGCATAATCGATACAGTGCCACTTCTTCGACCGTGGGTGCTGCCATGTATACTTGTGGATACGCTTCTTGGCAAACCAGGTGTTGCACACAGTGAGGCTGTTGCATGTCAAGAACTGGAGCAGTTCCAGTCCAGCGTGGTTCGTTTCCCCTATCCCATTATCTCCACAAGTCCCATACCATGGATCAGCACTCTGGATGAGACCAACCCGTGCATTGAAGTCGCCAAGGATAATCAATTGTTGACTTGGTGGCACTGAGTTTACGCTCGCTTGCAGGGATGCAAAAAATTCATTTTTGGACTCCCTACTTGATCTGAAAGTTGGAGCGTAGCATGCAATCACATTGATCCAGGTGTTTTTGTTTCCGTGGTGGACGAACTTCAACTTGCATTGTGCAATTCTCGACGATACCGCCGTCCATTGGTTTCCTCCTGCCGAGAAAGCGTTCCGTGCACGGCCTCTCAGGACGATGCAGACTCCTTCTCCGCGTTTGAAATTTTCAGCTGGTACGGGACGTCCAGACGACAACACGATCGAATCCGCGACATTGTAGATCTCAGCTCCAAACCACTTCGATTCCTGAAGTCCAGCCACTTCGATGTCGAGTCTCTTCAGCTCATTTATGACAGTATTGATCTTCCTGTCCTCGACTACTCTATGTCCAGACGCAGCAGTTTCGATTGGGCCGTCAGCATTCACGAGAGTTCTGACATTCCACGAAGCGAATTTTAGTAGAGAATCGCTTCTGCTGGGGGGATCCTGCCTGCGACGACGTCGCCCGTTTTCTGGTTGCTGAAAAGCTGAGGATGGTAGAGGCGACATCCGAGGGGTAGCTAGCCCACTGCGGATGGAGGACGGAGAGCGGCGCGCCAGTGACAATATCAAAATTTAAATTGTCCTGGAAAACGCGCCGTGAGCCTCTCCGACCTGTATTTCTATCTGGACGCCAGGGGCTCTCCTAGCAAGGCTAGGAGAGCCCTGGGGGGCGAGAACTAACTTAGGGAGAGCTCCAAGTAAGTAGAAGACGGGAACTAGACAGAGCCTCAAAAGATCAAACTGACCTCAAGAGACTCAACTCAACACTAACTGTGAGCATCGCCAAGACGAAGATCATGACGGCGGGCCATGGGGTCTCTGCTGAAGACTCGGCTGACATCGTTCTCCCCCTTGGCACTATCGAAGCCGTGCCGAAGTTCACCTACCTAGGATCCATAGTGACCCCTGACAGTCGTTCTTCATCCGACATCAAGCGCCGTATTGCCGAAGCCTCAAAGGCCTTCGGAGCCCTCCAGAAGGTATTCACTGACAGATCTCTGTCCCTCTCTAGTAAACGCCACCTGTACATGGCCTGCGTTTCCTCAATATTACTGTATGGCGGAGAGTGTTGGACCCCACTCCAACGGGATATCAGAAGTTTGGATAAATTCCACCATCAATGCATCCGGACTGTCCTCAGCATCACCAAGCCTCGTCAGTGGTCCGAGCGGCTGTCATCCACAGACCTGCGGAACCGTTGGGGAGACCCAGTACTGATGTCTACACGCCTCCGCAATCGGCGTCTGGAATGGACTGGGCACGTTGCGCGTATGGATGAGGATCGCACCCCCCTCCAACTCCTCTTTGGGTGGCTGCCTGTGCCTCGGCCGTTTTGTGGTCCCCGGCGACGGTGGAAAGACACGGTGATGACCGACCTCAAGGTTGCACTGCAACAGCCATCTCAGTGGTTCATCCTTGCTCAGGACCGCCAACAGTGGAGGGAAGTACGGGTTGCCCCTCAGTCGAGCTCCACCATGCCCAAGTCTGTGCATTGCGCAGTGTGTGACCGGAACTTCTCACGGGTCTCGGATAGGACGCGGCACAAGTGCACCACTCAGAGACGGCTTCCCATCCAGCTCCAGCGTGGATCAGTGCAATGCCAGAACTGCCAGAGGTGGTTCCGCAGCAAGGGTGGCTACTCTGTTCATCGATGCCAGCCTGTCACGAGTTCTCCTACACCAACAGTCAGTCTGTCTGTGCCACTTTCAGCTTGTTGCCAGCAGCACTGCCCAACATGTCAGCGATGCTTCCGTTCTGCGGCCGGGTTCAAGCGTCACAACTGCAATCGTGGTGCGAGACCATCTGCTGCTGAGAGAGCAGCTCTGCCCCTCAGCTGCCCACGTTGTAAACGCAATTTCCGCCGGCAGCAGGACCTAGCCAGACATTCGCGGTCCTGCTTGTGATCCGTGTCCCGTTTTCTGGTCCCCTTTCCATTGGGGTGACACTTGCCCCTCTGGGCAGTCATGCTGCTAGTAGTAGTAGTAGTAGTAGTGTGTGTGTGTGTGTGTGTCACGCTCCTTATAAAGAAGAGGCACCTGTGACGCGTGTCTGTGTGTGTGTGTGTGTGTGTGTGTCACGCTCCTTATAAAGAAGAGGCACCTGTGACATGTGTGTGTATGTCACGCTGAAGCGCTGCGGAGCAGCGCTGCCCTGACTACTGGCCTGAGCACGCGAAGCGTGTGAACAGTGTAGCACAGTGTAGCTAGCGGCCGCAGAAGCACTGAGCACGCGAAGCGTGCGAACGAAGCGTGCGAATCGTGTAGCTAGCGGAAGCAGCCACAGAAGCACTGAGCACGCGAAGCGTGCGAATCGTGTAGCCACCTAGCCTAGGCCATAGGTAGCACTAGCAGCCGCACAAGCGCTGCGGACCACGTGAACCGTTCTCTGCAAATAGAAACATCTGCAACAAAAGGATACAAAAGATCTGCACTGACTGCACTCTGCATCTGATCTGCAGTGAAGAGCGCATCGCACTTTTGTTCGTAAGTTTATGAATTTTTTGAGCCGCTTCATCCGCCACCAGGTGATGGACAACCCTGACCAGCCTCCCGAAGGCGTAACAGACGTCCCTCCTTCTCCTTCCAACGATGAAGAACCTCCCTCACCAGGACTTCAGCGGTCTGGCCACCACCACGTGCTGAGCACGTGTGCTGTTCACGTACTTGCTTCACGCGGCCGCATGCCACATTCGGCCAGGCAACGCTGGCCGGTGGTGCTGCTAGTATTGTTATAAAATGGAAAATGTCGATTGATCAGCCCATTTTATATCGTTATAGGGGTAATATCGTTATAGCAATATTGTTATAGAGGTAAGGCATTGTATACAAAAGTCAATGGAGTGATTTGGTTTAGCAGAAAAATATCGTTATAAGGCCAAACTAAAGAAGGTGTGTGGTTCGACTCACCCGACCGACCGTACAATTTCAGCCCGACCGTAACTTTTTTTCGGCGGGCTGTCGTGTGACTGACGTACGTGGACTGAACACGTCCACGTCTACGTGCTGTGTGGCGTGAGTCTGCGGACGCAGGCGGCTCCTTTTGGACTTGACTTGTAGTTGTACTGCAGTGCAGTGCAGTGAGTGGTACGACTGCTGCCTTGTGCTGGTAGTAGAGTCTACTCGATACGCGTATACAGTGTATTTACATGTACTAAAAAATATATTAAAAAAAAAAAAAATCCGCCCGCCCGCCCGTAAAAAAAATGTCCATGTTAGTCGAACCACACACCTTCTTTAGTTTGGCCTAAGGGTAATATCGTTATAGAGGTTATCGTTATAAGGGTAGGTCGACTGTACAAAGAGGTTTTGCTTATTTCAGAATGGGACTCTCTAGCTTTGCATGCCTAACATACATTCAATGCATCTCGGGACGTAGGTTTTGAGCAAGTGCACCCATGTTTAAATCATCCCTGCCCCACCCGAGTCCGATCATTCTTGGGTGGGAAATACCCCTGTAACCAAATCAGAACATCCTGCAACCAAGTTAGATCATCCTACAAGCAAGGCAGATCACTCCCACAAGGAAGTCAGGAGTTGCTAAGGACAACCCGTACCTGGTGATAAAATTGATTGGTAGAGGTACTACGTTGCATACCAACCATCAGCCTCAGCATGACCTGTTCAATCTCACTCTTACGCCGAATAATCTCTTCTACGTCATATCCAGTACCTTAGTGTATCACCTAGTGCATGTAATACATGCAAGCATGGACAGTGCTGTACAATAGAATCCTATCTCACGAGTCACGTTTGCGCCCCACGCCCAATCCACATCCCAGTGTTCGCATGTCCAGGTCTGCACAGTGCCCGGTGTGGCATTGGCATCGGCATCGGCATTGGCATTGGCTTGCTTGATTGGATTTTCATTGAGCAGCATTGTGCTACTAATGAAATCATGTTGAGACTGACTTGGCTTCCTCTGTGTACATACATGCACTTGATCCTTTTTGCTCCGATCTAGGCATCTAGGTCAGCAGGAGCAGTACTTGCCTCATAAGCACGGCTTCGACGAGTGGTTCGGAGCTCCCAACTGCCATTTTGGACCGTACAACGACAAGGGAAAGCCAAACATTCCTATGTATCGCGATGATCATATGATCGGCCGGTTGTACGAGGACTTTGTGATCAATAAAACCAGCGGGTATTCCAATCTAACCCAAATCTACATCGAGGTCAGTGTCACCATATTACTTGTATTGCATTGCTTAACGTGTAGTACTCTCTCTTCTGCAGCCAAGCAAGAAAACCCTGTGAAGAGGGTTGAAGTGATTGCTCTACGGACTGGTGGTTTCACACACAAGGCTGAGTGAAGCCAAGTTGCATTCTGCCCCCCCCCCCCAATCTACCGCCTTTCTCTGTGAGGTTGGAGGTTGTGAACAGGTGTATGTCCCTGCTAAAGATGAATATACAGCCGTAGGAAACTGTTGCATACAATGAAGTCAATGTGATGTGATTTTCAACCCTTCAATATGTAGTCTGCGTTTCTTTCTTTGTCGAGTAGACGCGCATGACTGTGGACCACTGTTATAGAAAGTACATGAACTGAAGTCAGTGGACAAAGAGGAATATTCAAACTGTTCCAGATAGTCCTACCAATGTGTTGAAACTCATCCCTGTGTTGTTTGTCAATGTTTTCAGGAAGCTACAAACTTCATTAATGAGCAGTCGACGGCGGCCAATCCGTTCCTCTTGTACTGGGCAGTGGATGCCACACATGGTCCAGTCTATGCGTCACATGACTTCCTTGGGACAAGCCAGCGTGGGCTGTAAGTCACACGTCAGCTACCGCTGTCCATTAGTGGTATTCAGTTCCCTGGAACTCTGTTTGTTGTTCACTTCTTCACTACTGTTCTGTGTATCGGGTGCAGGTCGGAGGAGGGGTGGAGGTGTCGGAGGAGGGCATTGTGTGCACCTGCACCCCCCCCCCCCCCGACCCCACCCCCATTCATTGAAAGTAGTATTCAAGATATGAAAAAGTCCAAATTGGTATACTGGGTAACCAGTCATTTGACCTCTGAAGAGAATGGCGGTTATGAAACCACTACAGTCAGTTGAAATGCCGTGTGTTTAATATTGTAGTTCCAGAGGCGATAATGACCTACTGGCTGTCCTTCATCGCAACGTAATGTTTACGAATCAATCATGGTGACGTTCCCGTAGGGTGAGCGACATTCAGTGCACCCCAAGGGCCTTTAACAACTAGGCATCAACTTCCAGCTCCCTCTGTCAGTGGTAACGAGGCATCTTATAGCGTGTAGAGTAATAGCCTGAAGATGTTAACTTTGTCTTTATCTTCACATACACATACACACACACACATATATAAACACACATGTACACGTAAAAACACACACGTTTACACACTGTTATAGGTATGGCGATGCAGTGCGTGAGTTGGACTATGGTGTTGGTGTCATACTGGCTGCAATCAAGTCAGCTGGTGTTGAGGAAAACACACTAGTCATGTTCTCGTCCGACAATGGTGGAGCTACGTATGCCAAAGAACAAGGTAAACATCACACAACATTTACTAAGTTAGTAGGAGCACATACTTCACGTTTTTCACCAATAATTTGAAATATTTCACGAGCAAACTTTCGTGCCATCTCTTCAGGTGATATACAGGCAAGAGTAAAGGAACAAAAAAGTTTACTTGTGAAATTTCCAAATGCTGTTCAAGAACCAGAAGTGTGTGCTTCCACTAAGTACTGTATTAGATGAAGGGCTTTATTGCAAAACGAGATAAATCCGTTTTGACCAGTTTTTAGGAGGAGAGATTTTTTTCTGTGATCAAAAACTGGCTGGGTTTGTGTCAGATCGAACTTAGCAGATTAGAAGAGTAGGGTGGTGTATGCGAATACAGGCGAATACAGGCTTTCTCAAAAATTAGGGTCTATATATTTCTCAAGCAAGGTGTTTCTTCAACATTTGTTTTGGAAAACCAGATATATCCGCCGGACTAATCAGTGTTATGAGGTTAGAAAATACAAGTACAAAGACTTCACTGAGCTCGGAACTCTGAAGGACTCTGGGATCAGCAGCAGCAGCAGCAGCAGCGTCGTCGATCCCTGACGCCTCTAGCATACTGCTCCTCTCAGTTTCGAAAGCGAAAAAACAACCGCTACGAAGAAGGAAATATGCAAAGAACAAAAAGGAAACGCAGATGTAGCTGCTATAAAGCAACAACACGAAAACAATGTACTTTGAACTGTGGCATTGACATTGTGTACAGTCGCGATGTTTGCCACGTGCTGCGCCAGCACTCGCTGGCTTTTCACGGGTCACACTGGCCCGCGTGATAGGGTATGTTACCCTTAAATCTTTGCTCGAAAACATTGGTGGTGTTTATCGCGTTTTGCAATAGAACGTCGACTTCAAAGTAGATGTTCAGTGGTATATGTCTTGTTTTGGCGAATTCCTTTTGTCCATCATTTGCAGTGGTCCCTACTGAGTCGATTGATACCGAAAATGCCATATAAGATTGGCGTTTATCGCGTTTTGCAATGAAGCCATTCATATGCATTTGTGTTTACATGTGTGTGTGTGTGTGTGTGTGTGTGTGTGTGTGTGTGTGTGTGTGTGTGTGTGTGTGTGTGTGTGTGTGTGTGTGTGTGTGTGTGTGTGTGTGTGTGTGTGTGTGTGTGTGTGTGTGTGTGTGTGTGTGTGTGTGTGTGTGTGTGTGTGTGTGTGTGTGTGTGTGTGTGTGTGTGTGTGTGTGTGTGTGTGTGTGTGTGTGTGTGTGTGTGTGTGTGTGTGTGTGTGTGTGTGTGTGTGTGTGTGTGTGTGTGTGTGTGTGTGTGTGTGTGTGTGTGTGTGTGTGTGTGTGTGTGTGTGTGTGTGTGTGTGTGTGTGTGTGTGTGTGTGTGTGTGTGTGTGTGTGTGTGTGTGTGTGTGTGTGTGTGTGTGTGTGTGTGTGTGTGTGTGTGTGTGTGTGTGTGTGTGTGTGTGTGTGTGTGTGTGTGTGTGTGTGTGTGTGTGTGTGTGTGTGTGTGTGTGTGTGTGTGTGTGTGTGTGTGTGTGTGTGTGTGTGTGTGTGTGTGTGTGTGTGTGTGTGTGTGTGTGTGTGTGTGTGTGTGTGTGTGTGTGTGTGTGTGTGTGTGTGTGTGTGTGTGTGTGTGTGTGTGTGTGTGTGTGTGTGTGTGTGTGTGTGTGTGTGTGTGTGTGTGTGTGTGTGTGTGTGTGTGTGTGTGTGTGTGTGTGTGTGTGTGTGTGTGTGTGTGTGTGTGTGTGTGTGTGTGTGTGTGTGTGTGTGTGTGTGTGTGTGTGTGTGTGTGTGTGTGTGTGTGTGTGTGTGTGTGTGTGTGTGTGTGTGTGTGTGTGTGTGTGTGTGTGTGTGTGTGTGTGTGTGTGTGTGTGTGTGTGTGTGTGTGTGTGTGTGTGTGTGTGTGTGTGTGTGTGTGTGTGTGTGTGTGTGTGTGTGTGTGTGTCTGTGTGTGTATGTGTGTGTGTGTGTGTGTGTGTGTGTGTGTGTGTGTGTGTGTGTGTGTGTGTGTGTGTATGTGTGTGTGTGTGTGTGTGTGTTTGTCCGTGTGTGTGTGTGTGTTTGCTTGTGATATTCCCCTCGTGCATGGTTCAACAGGAGGTAGCAACGGGCCATTCCTGTGTGGCAAGGAGACGACATACGAAGGTGGAATGAGAGAGCCAACCATCGCTCAGTGGCCTGGTCGTATACAAGCTGGAACAGTAAGCAAGGAGCTGCAGATCCCTGGTTTCTTCAACCTCAGACCTATTTTTTCAAAACAAAGATTGCTTTATAAACCTGCAGAACAGAGTGAGTGTTAGCTGGGGTAGGGAGCAGGCCAGGGTTTGTCTCTAAACTGAACTGTTCCTCTTTTAGTGGAGTGGCAGGGATTTGAGGAATGAGGGGAGGGAAGGGGTGGGGAGGGGGAGTAGATGTACAGTCACAAGTAGATACCGTACTCACTCGATTAGAAGCCGGGGCTTCTATTTTTTCAATACCAATTTCGAGGAGGCTTCTATTCAAGAGGGGCTTTTATTGTTTCATTCTATACCAGTATTCCAATCGAATCTCTAAAACTTTCATTTTCACAGCAACTCAGCCCCGAGTTAGTTTGCACACACTACGTCGACCAGGACATGTACCAATATGAATATGCACGAGATGTTCTTTGCACACTTGACCTTCATACATCGCACTCGCTGGTCACCCCATGCTTTGCGAATAGTAGTCCGGACTTCTATTCAAGAGGGGCTTGTATTTTTTCAAACAGTCCTTGTAGGTTGATAAATATGGTGGTAAAGACACACCTGGCAATATGGCGGTAAACACACGCCTGCCCACACACGCTCTCTAGGCTGCAAAGTTCTGGCACAGAGCTCTCCTTCTCACCACCACCACCACCATCAGTTCGCGCCTGGCGCCTGGTCGATGCATGGCTGGCGGTAACCGGCATAGCAGGCTGGTACATCAAGTAGCGCATGGCACATAGATGATGACACAGCAACGACATAGCTCGATTGCGACGTACGTTTCGTCCCCGCTGGACTCATCAGGCAATCTTCTTCTTGGATGTCTTCATACGGAGCTTGACTCGGGAGAATGAAGTCGTTGCTGTGTCATCTATGCTGTGTCATCTATGTGCCATGCGCTACTTGATGTACCAGCCTGCTATGCCGGTTACCGCCAGCCATGCATCGACCAGGCGCCAGGCGCGAACTGATGGTGGTGGTGGTGGTGAGAAGGAGAGCTCTGTGCCAGAACTTTGCAGCCTAGAGAGCGTGTGTGGGCAGGCGTGTGTTTACCGCCATATTGCCAGGTGTGTCTTTATCACCATATTTATCAACCATAAGTACAGCTGCAGTGGTGTCTTCGACTTCATTCTCCCGAGTCAAGCTCCGTATGAAGACATCCAAGAAGAAGATTGCCTGATGAGTCCAGCGGGGACGAAACGTACGTCACAATCGAGCTATGTCGTTGCTGTGTCATCATCTATGTGCCATGCGCTACTTGATGTACCAGCCTGCTATGCCGGTTACCGCCAGCCATGCATCGACCAGGCGCCAGGCGCGAACTGATGGTGGTGGTGGTGGTGAGAAGGAGAGCTCTGTGCCAGAACTTTGCAGCCTAGAGAGCGTGTGTGGGCAGGCGTGTGTTTACCGCCATATTGCCAGGTGTGTCTTTACCACCATATTTATTGTTGTGTCCTACCCCAGGTGGGTTCTACTCGGACTCATCCAGCTCGATCACACACACACTCGAGGCCATTACAGATTTCAGTTCGTCTCAAACTCCATATCCGAAAAAGACCAAGCTCACGTGCGAGCATGCGCACTACATACATATGGTCCATGTCCAGGACATGACAATTTCCCCCTCACTAGTTGAGGCGAAGCATCTAGAACTATGCAATAGTAAACATATCAAGATGCAATCACAAAACTCACAACTGCCGAGACATAATATTTCATGATACACTATACACCATATATACACCATAAATATATAATTATATACAATATCCAGCAGAGTCCAAAATATATCATTTAAACTCTACAGACTAGAATAGGTCCATATGAACTGAGTGTTCTGAACGTCAATCCTTGAAACGAACTGGTCGAACAGTAGCGCGGGTTGACCGTCGTTCAGCTTGCGGTGACGACGTCTTGCTGTAGCTGGCACGTGAAGTGCTAACGGACGCAGACTCACTAGTACCGGTTGTTGCTGAGACCGGCGCGCCTAGCTCCGCTGCCGTGACACTGGCGTCGTTGTTGCTGAGTGACGGTTGTGACGGAACCTGAGCTGTTAAACTTGCTCCACTCTGCTCAGACGCCCCTGCATCGAACTGAGGGATTTGCCGAGGACGGAGCTGGTTGCGATGGCGTTTCCACATTGCATCACCGACTTGTATCTGATACGTCATCGGACTGAGAACTGCCGTGACCACGGCTGGGGCCCACTTATCTCCTCCTTTGCCGAAATTCAAAGCCAGGACAGCTTGGCCGCACTGAAATTCCGGGGTCCCATTGCCATTCAGCAGATTTCTTCACCAGATTGTACAGAGGTACCATTATTGTTGCGAAATGAGGTATGAACCGTCGCAAGAAATTCGCCGTTCCAATGAATGATTGAAGCTCGATAACATTCGAAGGAGCCTTAGCGTCCCGCATTGCCTCAATCTTATCCGCTGTAGGAGCCACACCAGCACTAGAAATCGTGTGACCCAGGTAGGAAATCTCATCCATCATGAAATGAAACTTACTGGGATTAAGCTTCATCCCGACCTCCTGTAGGCGACGTAGTACCCTGATCAGGTTGTTGTGGTGTTCATCCTCATCCTTCCCAGTAATCAAGATGTCATCCACATAGACGATGCACCCAGGCAGATCTGCCAATATGGATTCCATTGTGCGTTGGAAAATTGCCACTGCCGAGTGAATGCCAAACGGCAATCTCACGTATTCATACAACCCCTTGTGAGTAGAGATTGTTGTGTACGGCCGAGAAGCTGGATCAAGCTCCAGTTGGTGATAGGCTTGGGAGAGATCCAATTTGGTGAATTTATCTCCCCCCGACAATTTCGCTAACATTTCCTCAATAGTAGGTAGCGGGTAGTGCTCCAAATCAGACTTGGCATTGATTGAGCGAGAGTAATCAGCACAAATTCGGATACTACCATCCGATTTCAGTACTGGCACAGTAGGCGATGCCCATTTGGAGTGCTCAACTTTGCGAATAACTCCCTCTGCTTCCAATTTCTCCAAAGCCTCCTCGTACTTCTCCGTGATAGAGAACGGTACGGGACGCGCCTTGTGGAACATTGGATCAGAATCATCCACTCTCAGGGTGATTTGAGCCGACCTCAGCTTGCCAACCTGAGTCGTATCGAATAGCTCCTCAAATTCCTCAATGAGAGCTCTCCTCCTACCATCCATTTGAACATGATTGACATTGACAATCTGTTTCCACGGTAGAGTAAATTGGGACAACATATCCCTGCCCAACAATGACGGACCACCATTATCCACCACACGGAGTAGTGTTGGTTTCTCCACACCATCAATGCTGACATTGAACTTCCCTTCACCAATACATTTGATTTCTGCCCCAGAAAAACCGGTCATGCGTACACTCGGTTTGGTTAAATTTGTACGAGACACCCCAAGTGACTCAAAATCATGGACAGAAATGATTGAAATGCCACTGCCCGTGTCGATTTCCATTACAACAGGAACATCATTCACAGCAATTTCCAATTTGTAGGAGGGCACAGATTTGCTCTTCAATTCGCCCTGATCCGAAATGTGGAACATTGGCATGCACTCAAGATCAGCAGATTCATGCTCACCTGCGTCATCAGTCACAACATTGTGCACCGACGCGCCTGGCGTAGATTTCTGCCGACAAACACGCTCCAAGTGCCCCTTCATGTGGCAGTGACGACACTCAGTGGCCTTGTGTTTGCACTTATCCGCCAAGTGTTGAGTAGACCCACAGCGGTAGCACAATCTCTGCTCTCGAGATTGATGAGATTGACGAGAAACACCAGACTGCGCCTGCGAACGCGATTCCACTGGCCGGTGATTCACCTTGTGCACTTCTTGCTGAGAGGTAAGCTGCACGGCCGCGCGCGCAGCCGATTCCTGCGTCAAAGCTAGTTTGACGATGTCATTGAACGACTGTGCCGAAGTATCTTCTTTCGTCAATAAGAAATTTCGAGTGGATGAGCTGCTCAAGCCAGCAATAAACTGGTCTCGAAGCGCTCGATCGAGGTGATCAGCAAACTCACACCTCACAGCCAATCTCTTCAGACGAATGATGAAATCCGCAGTCGACTCATTTTCCTTCTGCTTCAACTGATGGAAATTGAACGTCGCCGAAACTTGCGAAATTGCAGGTTGAAAATACTTCCTCAAAAGATCGCAAATCTCCGACAGTTTCTTGTCAGCTACTTTCGCTGGCAGACAGAGGCTCCTCAAAATCGAGTAGACTTCCGCAGACAGCAAACTCACTAATACAGCCTTCCTTTTCTTGCTGGCAGCCAACTTGTCTGCAGCATTGGCCGAAGCAGCCACAGTTCCAATATCATTGGCAAAGAAATAGAATTCAAGTCTTTCCTCAAACTCTTCAAAGTCGCCGCCGGTAAACGGCTGAAGCGATGATATCCGAGCCATATCTTCGTCGCCAGTTGTTGTGTCCTACCCCAGGTGGGTTCTACTCGGACTCATCCAGCTCGATCACACACACACTCGAGGCCATTACAGATTTCAGTTCGTCTCAAACTCCATATCCGAAAAAGACCAAGCTCACGTGCGAGCATGCGCACTACATACATATGGTCCATGTCCAGGACATGACATTTATCAACCATAAGTACAGCTGCAGTGGTGTCTTCGACTTCATTCTCCCGAGTCAAGCTCCGTATGAAGACATCCAAGAAGAAGATTGCCTGATGAGTCCAGCGGGGACGAAACGTACGTCGCAATCGAGCTATGTCGTTGCTGTGTCATCATCTATGTGCCATGCGCTACTTGATGTACCAGCCTGCTATGCCGGTTACCGCCAGCCATGCATCGACCAGGCGCGAACTGATGGTGGTGGTGGTGGTGAGAAGGAGAGCTCTGTGCCAGAACTTTGCAGCCTAGAGAGCGTGTGTGGGCAGGCGTGTGTTTACCGCCATATTGCCAGGTGTGTCTTTACCACCATATTTATCAACCATAAGTACAGCTGCAGTGGTGTCTTCGACTTCATTCTCCCGAGTCAAGCTCCGTATGAAGACATCCAAGAAGAAGATTGCCTGATGAGTCCAGCGGGGACGAAACGTACGTCGCAATCGAGCTATGTCGTTGCTGTGTCATCATCTATGTGCCATGCGCTACTTGATGTACCAGCCTGCTATGCCGGTTACCGCCAGCCATGCATCGACCAGGCGCCAGGCGCGAACTGATGGTGGTGGTGGTGGTGAGAAGGAGAGTCCTTGTAGGGGGGGGGGGGGGGCTATTATTCAAGAGGGGCTTTTATTTGAGAGGGGCTTCTAATCAAGTGAGAACGGTATCCATGATTTTCGCAATAATCCTTACTGATAAGCCTGGGAGAGTTGAGAGTTGTGTTTAGAACAAGATCCATACTGATATGTGATGTGTGTCTGAATGTATGCTTGTCCAGATCAGCCACCAGCTAGGCAATCTGATGGACTGGTTCAGTACAAGTCTAGACCTAGCTGGTATTGAGCTACCACAGGATCGTATCATTGACGGCATCAGCCTGGCACCAGCACTCTTCAACAATACACCGGTGGACAGACCAATCTTCTATTACCGTGGCAATGAGATGATGGCAGTGCGTGTCGGCATGTACAAGGCTCACTACTGGACATGGACGAATAGCTTGGCGGAGTTCCAGAAGGTTGGTTCAGCATGTCAATAACTGTGACCAGGGTACAGCCTGTGCATAAGGCAGTGACAAATAATATCAGCCTGAACAACAATACTGAACAGTGCTGTGCATGCAGTCAGTGTGTTTATTCCTCTTTTCATCTTATAGTACAGTTGCGCTCGGTGAAATCAGATCCACAGTGTATATTTGGCACCTCAATTTGCACACCCCTTGATGCCCTGGAAGTGGTACAAATGCGGCTGAACGTACACATTTACAAATACAATGATGTCATCAGAATCGTTAGAGGGCACCGGTTTTGCACTTGGGGTCGGATTTCACCGAGAGCGCAAGTGTAGGCAAATCAACGCATGTGTTGTTTTGTCTTCCGTTCGGCATGCCATTAGGGTACGGACTTCTGTCCGGGTGAAGACATCGCCAACGTGACCACACATGATCAAGTCAACAACACCCTGGCACCGATAGTGTTTGACCTGGGCAAAGATCCTGGTGAAAAGTACCGTTTACGGTTAGTGCGACAGCGATTACTTACATGATTGTCATGTTATGTTATCTTCATTTCACTTCACCACAGGCACAGGCATTGATGCCTTCTGCACCTCATCAGTTTACTGATGAAATATACTTTAGCGAATTAGGCCAGAGTGCATGCATGACCAGGGAGACTTTATATTTTATATTAGACGCCAGCCACCTGGTTTTCTAACCAATCCTGCTTGGCTGTTGGCCGCATTTCGATCAGCCAGCCGTCGTAAAATTGTGAGAGATAATTATGCAACAGTTTAATTAAGCTACATGTATCGCTACCAGAGACACATTCAGTCTCTGCAGGTCATGGTATGAATTGTTAACGGTACTTGGCTATATTGGACTGTCTAGCTGGTCCATGCTGCGTGTGTAGAAGCTCATGCCGCAGCTGTACCACTCCTGTGTTACTGTACACGGAAAGTGTTTTAACTGAAAGGTGATAGATATGTCTGTTGTCACCACCGAGTGCAGTTTGGTAGATCGCATGTACCGAAAACTACTAGCATGTATTTGCTGTGTATTGAACACTGTGTTTATTTAGTCTATTCAGTGTATTGAACACTGTGTTTATTTAGTCTGTTCAGTGTATTGAACACTGTGTTTATTTAGTCTGTTCAGTGTATTGAACACTGTGTTTATTTAGTCTGTTCAGTGTATTGAACACTGTGTTTATTTAGTCTGTTCAGTGTATTGAACACTGTGTTTATTTAGTCTGTTCAGTGTATTGAACACTGTGTTTATTTAGTCTGTTCTGTGTATTGAACACTGTGTTTATTTAGTCTGTTCTGTGTATTGAACACTGTGTTTATTTAGTCTGTTCAGTTTGTCATTTACACACAGTAAGCCTCTTTTACAGGGCAAAACAAACACAAGTGTACGCTTCTCGTTGGCTGAGAATTCGAAAGAAACGAGAAGCAATGTTCTCTCGAACTTCGAATATTTGTGAAGCTTGTTTTTTTGCATCTGTATTATTTTGTTGTGGCACGCAGTGTAGATTGACGTCACTGTAGTGACGTAATCGTTGTTGAGCGAGCGCTGTGAAACAGCGCTTGCGCAAAAAGATTGTCCTTCTTTTTGTCTTGCTCGTCCCGCCCTCTGTATATATATATATATATATATATATATATATATATATATATATATATATATATATATATATATATATATATATATGTATGTATTGGCTCTAGTACCCCGTACTATTGAGCACTATTCGCAACGGACGGGATCACCCCAACTCATATATTGGAAGCTCTCTCTCGAGATAGAGCACTCTCTCCCATACGTCGCAACTATGGACCCACCGAGAAAGACGGATTTAGGGTATTCGCTCGGCAACATACCCATCCCCTCAGCAAGCGCATACCGAAAGTGCCTAGTAGAGAAGGTCGAGAGCGTCATCCGCCGCATGCGCTGGAAGGCCCATTTCTTCCTGAACGGCAAGGACAAGGCGCAAGGCACCGAGACCTTTGGCTTCCCCACCCAGAAGTCACCCCCGCAAGTACCACAGATGAAAGCATTCGAAGAGGACTTGTTGAGCCTAGTGGCAGAGATCAAGTTTCGCCGAGTAAAGGACGACTTCCAGGACACACTGGAGGAGGACATAAAGACGCTAACGAACACGGACGACATCATTGTGAAGGCGGACAAAACCAAGAACTTATACTCCGTCAGTAAGCCTCAGTATGAAAAACTCCTGAGAGACAACGTCACAGCCACATACAAGCAGGCACAGGACAACACTTACACCGAAATCAACAACGAAGCAAAGCAGCTAGCAGAGAAGCTAAACATCAGCGACCGCGTAGACATTATGGCAAAATCAGAGGCTTTCATCACTCTAAAAGATCACAAAGACCGATTCAAGAACGACCTGCCCTGCCGACTCATTAACCCGGCAAAATCGGAACTGGGTGTCATTAGCAAAGCGATTCTCGACCGCATGGTGAGCGCTGTACGTGTGGCAACGGAAATCAACCTCTGGAGAAGCACCGGATCTGTCATCGACTGGTTCAAAGGAATAGACGACAAGAGCAGACACACATTTGTTTGTTTCGATGTTGTCCAGTATTATCCGTCAATCGGCGAAACGCTCCTCAAAAAAGCCCTCGACTTTGCAGAAACGTACACTGTCATCACAGATGAAGAAAAAAACATTGTCATGCATGCAAGAAAGTCCGTGATATTCAAGGACGGCCAAGCATGGATCAAGAAGGGCAACGGATCCATGTTTGATGTCACGATGGGATCGTTTGATGGTGCAGAGGTGTGCGAACTGGTCGGAGCCTACCTGCTGAACCAGCTCGCAGAGCACATCCCCAAAGGACAAATCGGCCTCTACCGTGATGACGGCTTAGCCATCATAAAGAACGCATCCGGTGGTACTGCAGAGCGACTTCGGAAGAAACTGACGGCAGTCTTCACGGCAAACGGACTCCGTGTCACCATCGACTCCAACCTCAAGGTGGTAGATTTCCTTGACGTCACGTTCAACTTAGCCACGGGAGCTTACCTACCACACCGGAAGCCAGGCGACACACCAAGATACATCCATACCCACTCAAACCACCCACCGAATATACTAAAACAGCTTCCGGCGGCTATCAGCAGACGTGTCTCTACCAACTCCTCAGACATCGACGCATTTAACCAAGCAGCCCCCATGTACAATGCAGCACTCTCAGCCAGTGGATATACAGAAAAAATCCAGTACACTGAACCAACGGAGCAAAACAAAGAAGAAAGGAAAAAGCGAAACAGAAAACGAAAGATCATATGGTTCAACCCTCCCTTCAGCCGAAACGTGAAAACGAACGTCGCCGCCGGATTCCTGAGGCTCATTGACCGGCATTTCAGAAACAGCGAGCTAAAAAAGATATTCAATCACAACAACGTCAAAGTTAGCTACTCCTGCCTCCCCAACGTCGCAGCCAAAATCAGCAGCCACAACAAACAACACCTCACGGGAAAAAGCCCAGGAAAACCATGTAACTGCAGGAAAAAAACGGAATGTCCGCTGGATGGCCACTGCCAAGCCACACAAATCGTCTATGAAGCCACCGTAGCCTGCCAGGAGGAACAAAAGGTGTACATCGGCTCGGCAGACACAACATTCAAGCTCCGGTACAACAATCACACTATGTCTTTCCGACACGAGAAACACCGGAAAAAGACCGCACTGTCGGAACACCTGTGGCAGAAGAAGGAAAACAAGGAAGAGTACCACCTTACCTGGCAGATAAAAGACAGGACCAGCTCCTACAACCCTGCAACAAAAAGATGCAAACTCTGCACAACTGAAAAGGCCAGAATCCTTATTGCTGATAAGACCCTGGCACTGAACAAGAGGAGCGAAGTCGTCGCAAAGTGCAGGCACGCAAACAAGTTCCGACTCGTGAACTTCCAAGGAGTCACCTAGAATGACCAATACGCCAAATGCAACGCCCTGCCTACGTATGAGCATCGCGTGAACAGCCTGCACACTCTGCCAATTCATACACCATACCCAACGCCATATCCAACACATGCACACAGTACAAGTACAGAGCCCTAAACATTGCCACCTCAAGCCTGCTTTTTTAGCACGGAATATTCTCACCCCTAACTTAGTGCCTTCTTTCGCGCTTGCTGTGTGATTGGGTATTTAACCTGTAGTGATCTAGTTGCCCTGTATCAGTTTGTTTCTATTGCCTGATGATTGATTCATTTCATGAAACTCAGAGTTGCAAAGAACGATGATGTATCTCTGGTGAGGACCTGATCGTGCAGTGTATATATATATATATATATTAACTGGTTTGAGGGAAAGAGACAAACGGGAAAGTCTGAAGAAAAAATTGACTGTCACCACCAGGACTCGAACCAGGGACCTTCGCTTGTAGCCAGCGATGCTCTAACCACTGAGCTATGGTGTAGTCGTCATCCCAGCAGAGGCCGTTCAACATTTTCTTCAGACTTCGTAACTCACACTTCCTATGAATCCACACAGGCGGGTGGGACGCAGCCCTCACTGTAACCCACACACTTCACGTACAAACTAGCACGCGGGGAGCCCCAAGTCATAAAATATTAACTGGTTTGAGGGAAAGAGACAAACGGGAAAGTCTGAAGAAAAAATTGACTGTCACCACCAGGACTCGAACCAGGGACCTTCGCTTGTAGCCAGCGATGCTCTAACCACTGAGCTATGGTGTAGTCGTCATCCCAGCAGAGGCCGTTCAACATTTTCTTCAGACTTCGTAACTCACACTTCCTATGAATCCACACAGGCGGGTGGGACGCAGCCCTCACTGTAACCCACACACTATATATATACTCAATCTGCGGACAGCATGCTGTTTCGTTCTTTTTGAACTCATCAGCGCAGCACAGAGGAAATGAGGCCGAACCTGATAGCAATGGAAATAAAAATTTCCAATCAGGCCCGAACGTACCTTGCCAGAGTGCTCAAACTGACAAGTCAGTGAGCTCTGCAAGTCAGTGAGCTCTGCATATATATATATAATTGCTCTGATTGTGAATGCGGTGGTTTCCTTGCTGTATCTTTCTGCACTGCTGATTTTATAAGTTCTAGTTGCTTATTTTTTTGTTATCTGGGTGGTCATTCTGCACTAACTGTTGCTGTATCATTTTGCCTCAAATTCTGGCAACTCTTCTTTTTGTCTTCCAATGTGGCTGTCCCCGCAGCCGACCCTGCACTATGGTTTTGCTGTTGCAAATGTGAGGTGTGAGAGAGAATGAATTTAGGCAATGCAACTTTGTTGAAGAAATCCAGAAATACTACAATAGTCATGCAAATACTACAATAGTCATGCAAATACTACAATAGTCATGCAAATACTACAATAGTCATGCATATTCATATACAGTGCTATGTGTGTGGTTTTGTCTCAGTCCCCACACAGCACAGTACAAAGCAGCCATGGCGGCCATTCAGCCGGTCGTGGACGACCATAAGTCCAAGCTTGTGCCGGGCGAGCCACAGCTCAACAAATGCGATCCGGCCGTTCAGGTATGTAACCTAGCCACGTGCACACGGAAGGGTATGTAGCTACGGTGTAATATTGCTTGCATACATGTGCAAGGGCACGGCTGAGAACCGTGACAGCACGTAATGTCATGTACATAGAAGGGTATGGTCTAACCCAGAGGTCCAGTGGAAATACCTTTGCTTGAAAACAGTCTCTGCTCAGGCTACCATGCACTTTGCAATAAAGCAAGCACCAGTAGACAGAGGGCATGGTTCTAATATGAAAATTTGCTTGTTTTCTCTTTCTCACATGCTCTTTCTCTGATTTATTCTTTCACATGATAAGTGATCCGCATTTATGGTGCAAAGCAAATTGGGTATGTCAAGACATCAAGAGGACAAAAAATAGTCTAGGAGGATCTACTCATCTGTGTGGGAGAGCTCCTATCTTGGTTCCTGTAATATGTTTGATCTTGGGTTTGTAGGTGTGGACAAAAGAAAATCATGCAGATCAAAGTATCCGGGAGTCAATTACCGTGCACATTTTTCAAATGCTTAGCTTTTAGTTGCACATCGGCTCAGTACATCTTCTGAAGAGTTCAGGATCTGCACTGCACTATAATGCGAACCCGCAAAACTAATCCAAGGCCTTGAACGCGTCATCAAAGAGTAGTAAAATTACGACTGAGCGGGCTTTACACTTTGATGGCTCATGAGGCCCTTGGCGGAAACTTCCATGATTGGTCGTCTCCTAGATGCCGAGACAGAACTCGCTCTAAAAAAATACTGCTTGTAAGTGGAGAATGGCTGGTTCTACACTATCCTGAGGCAGAGCACTTATTTTAACTTACATGTACATGTAGATGTTTTGGGGTGCTAGACCACCAGACAACACTGCAATCCACAGTTGTGTGCACCAAAACACAACTTTATGTTTCCCCAAGCATCGCTGCACATCTCTTGGTACGCAGTTAAGCGCCATGGCTCAGTTGTGTTTTTTTTGTTTTTTCTCCACTCTGCTGACAGAACTGGGCACCGCCTGGCTGCAAGGAGCTGAACAAGTGCCTGCCAATCCCACCGCACGCCGAGACCGACTGTGTATGGGTGCATTGATGATGGAATTCTATTGCTGCATGCAGTCACACATCATGCTAGGGAAATCGCTCAAGTACAATGGCTTTGGCAATAGTGGCAATATGGTCATGTTAGTGATACCATTGTGTCCTGAGCAAAGACATTAATTTTATCAATCTTTATCATGATCGTTGCTTTAGGCTATTTTTGACAAGACTCATTGTGGAGAGCAGTTTTGATCGACGACTGTGCGGAGTTGCTCAGTGTTACCAGAACCTTGTTATGAATGGAACAACATTCAGTGAGGATGTTTGTTCACCAGTGGACATAATTTATAGCACACATTTTGGAGAATTCTTCTTTTGACGACATGGCAGACAGTAGATAATTCCGAAAATTTGGCAAACCCACCACATTCAGTGCCTTGCTATGTTATAAAGGTATCAGAAGCCATCCACATACATGTCCTTTGAAGTATACACCGACATACATGAGGGACATTGGACATGGTACGGTCACAACGGTACTGAACGTACGACTACCTGCCCCCTGTAAATCAATAATCCTAAATGTTGGAATCAGACACCCCTCCCCGAGTCATGAGTAAATAGTACTGCAGATGGCTGACCGTAACCACACTAAAATACCTTGTGATGCCCCCGTACAGATACAGTGTAGGGAGAGAAAGGAATTCATGTTACAACTCCAAGTTTTACAAGACTCTGGGCGATCTTTAGCAGGTAACTAACTACCTTGAAGGTCCTCTGTCTCTACTGGGTGTGCACGGACTTCACCTCACGGGGTGTTGAGCACTCTTCAATCGGTGGGTGACTCTGCTTATTCCGCCTAACATAAACTACCGTACTGGCAATATATGTTGCCGCAGTGAGGCCATGAAGCGTTACATTGGCACATGTTTGCCGCACGCAGGGCGTTACATGCAAAGTCGCACAGGAGCCGTTACACAGGTTTCTATATTGCCGCAGTCCTTTTTTTTGCTATTGCAGGACTTCCTGCTGCGTCCAGTTTTGAACTTTTCACCACGCGGTACACGTGCTTTCACAGTTTCAGCCTTTTTTGTAATGAAAAGATCGCCGCACCCCGCCGGACGCGCGTTACGAACGCAACGAAAATTTGTCGCACTAGCCTGGTCGCGCGTTACGCCGCACCCCCCTGCGTTACGCGTTACGCGGCAACATATATTGCCAGTACGGTATACCAATACTGTTTGGAACTAGCACTCTCAGTGTGTTGTGCCTGCTGTGCATGACAATTCCACTTTGAAGTCCAAATCCACTATTCACAGCCATGCATGAACAGCTGCCTGTACACCTGTACAGTAGCTTTCAGCATACGACACCACCTGGTACCCCCACCGTATGCTCCCACCCGGACACACGGCGATGCGCACGTAATGACACACACATAAATCAAAGTCACTGAATGTTGCACTGATTCGTAACAGCGTACCTCGGGTACGCAGGCTTATAATTCTTGCATGGCAGCATGAACGCACAGAAGAGTTCAATGCAAGTCATAATGAAGACAGCTTGCGTGAAAATTGCTCTGCGAGGCCTATAATACTCAAAGTAATATTCAAAAACAAAAATTAGGAAATATTGGCTAGCTGCCACTGTGTTGTCTCAAGATCATGAACACTGCTCCAGATAGTACCTGGCTCAAGTAAAATGATGAATATTTTGGTGTACGGCTGACTCAGTGCAATGACTAAGTCACGTTATATACTAAGTTGTTTGTTATACTAGTAATGGTTTATGGTGAATTTCCCAAGTACACTATGGTTGCAGTGATCATATCACTCTCGCTAAATGCCAGCATTGCGAGAAAACGTGAAGTGCAGAGGCAGTGCTGTCTATAAAAATATGCCTGGTGACTAGAGCCTGCCGAACACACAAACAGAGTATGGGATGTGTGACAGAGCAGGCTGTGTGTCTTGACGATCATTCACATGTATATGTAGAACACTAGAATGATCCACATAACCTGCAGCACAGCCAGGCCAAACATACACCACATAACCTGCAGCACAGCCAGGCCAAACATACACCGTGCCGTAACTGATCCTATATGAAGCTTGGGGAACACACTAATTGTAAAGAGGAATGTAACGGTATGCTCAGTCTCAACAATCATACCATAAAGTGATCTCTTTGCTAGGTAAAACTGTGTAAAAGACTGTGAGAGAGTGTGTAAACTCTCGAACAAAATCTAATGCTATCTGGGGATGCGATCGCACTCCAATCTTTACTTTGAACAAAAAGGGTAAATTCCGCAAGAGTAGTCATGGAAACGGTGTCGTTGCCGGAAAGGCAGCAAGGAAAATGTCACAGTTCAGGAGGTGAATAGATATTGTCCAATACCTACTGAAATGTCTTGCTGTGCTTGCTGAAGCTTTGCTTCTTCGACGTGTAGATCATCACAGAAGACTGCTGGCCTTAGTGTTGTGTACTCAACTTGTATTTCATCAGGGATTTTGTGCAAGTGGGGATAAAGGGACTCAGTTCGAGACACATTCAAGGAGTTCCTCAAGATTTTGCCACGAGGCGGTATTGAGTAGTGGCGCCTTGAATAGCGTGATGGAGCACGGATTGTCGAGCAAGTCAATCCTATCCATTGCCATGACCGCAGGTGACTGGAGAAAGTAGCTGATACCAACATCTGTGATCTTGTCCTGCACGAGGCAGACGTGTCGCATGCTGCAATTGGCTTCGCTCAGCTCAACAAGGGCACGAGCTGTATCATCTCCGACATCGTTGTGCGACAGTTGAAGCCAACTAATGTGGGGAAGATGTTTTAGGCATCGCACAAGGTCCGCACCAACCTCGTCCGACATTCCGGTTCTTTCGAAGGAGAGGAAGTGGAGCTGTTTGCAGCTAGACAAGCTCTGCAGTAGACGTGGATACTCTTCATGGCTGGTATCGATACCGTGGAACACTGGGTTTTTCTCAAGGCACAGAGCACGCAGGCCAGAGTGTGGTGATGCTGCAGCTTCCAGTAATGAAACCGTTCCAGGCAATCTGATGTTGTTGCAGGTGAAGTCAATAACTTTCACTGATCTATTCTCAGCCATTCCTGACATTGCTAGCGTGGTTACCCCTGAATCAGTAAGTAGACAATAGCTGACGTCAACGATGGACAGTCCAGGGTTGGTCGCAAGGTACTGGCCAAGTGCACCCATCAAGTCATCAGTCAACATGCCGTAAGATCCGCGGCCTTGTTCCTCCACTAGTTCCTCTACAGAGCGTTGCAGAACTAAGTTGCGATACGCCCAGTGACTGCCGATGTCCACAATGTCGCTGCCACAATTGCCGGACTGAGCAATGTCCTCGAGGAGCTTGGTCGAGATGTTGTTCCCCTTCAAAGATATCTCACAAGTCGGCAGAGGCTGACGATGTCCAAGACTGCCACTAGTAGCTGTTGACTCGTTTCGGCTGGTCTGCACTCTTCTGGCTTGCAGAAAGGAAATGACGCTGGGCACAAGATCGTCTCCCAATCCGTTGTGGTCAAAGTTTAGATGTTGAATGCTTTAATGTGAATGCAGAGCATGTAGCGTGCATGCAACGTCATCTTTGGACAGTGTGTTGTCACGTAACCAGAGTGTTGTCAGGTTTGGTACTTTCTGAGAGAGTGTAGCGAGGGTCGCTCCACAACCATTCAACAGGTTGCAAGACCCAAAGAAGAGTGAGTTGAGGTGTGGAGAATCCATTAGGCCGTTGGCAAATGCTCGAAGTCCATCGTTAGATAGAGCCCTTGTGAGATCAGGATGACCTCCAACAGTGAGCGTCGATAGGCTTGGATGCTGGGCACACCGAACGAGAGATTCATAGTCTTTTCCAGGCATGAAAAACGCATCTTCGAGTGACAGGTTCTTCAGATGGCTCTGCTGCGTGGAGTCTGACAAAGCTGCAGCAATGCTCTCCAATGGAAAGCCACTGAGACGCATACTACCGACATCAACGTTCACCGCCTTGTCCAGCACGGTAGACAACCTATCAAAGTGCTCATCAGAGAGATTGCAATTATCGACGTTCAGCAATGGTACCTGCTCAGCAAGCTCAAGGACGTTGCATATGGCCATGACGTCGTTCGTGTCCAGGCGTATTCCAGAAACGTTCACGCCTTCTTCTGCCAGCTTTGACGCAGCTGCTGCGTACAGACCATGGTTTGGTTGGTCGTCATCAGCTGCTGCAACATTAGACTGGAGTGAGAGGTAGTTTTCAAGCAGTGCGCGCATCATGAACAAGAACATCTTCTTGCTCAATTTGCCCGCGGTGGTGTCGACCGCAACAGACCGTACCACATCCAACGCAGAACACAGGTACTGTGGATGGAGCTCGCCGAAGACGAATCTCCAGAAGATGTGACGGCTCTCCTCCACTCCTACGTCCTGGATGCAGTCCCCAATGGCATCAATGCATTTGTCAGATGCAGTAAGAGCTCTTGAGGCACACCACTCTTGCACAGTCAAGTGAGCCAGTGTAGTGAGCTGTTCTCTGCCACCAAACGGCGCTGCTTCAAAGTGCTGCGTCAGTCCAAGGTCCTGCCATATCAGTAAATGCCGGCCATCCAAGGAATTAGAGGGAAATGTTGTGCAATTGCGCAGCAGTTCCTTGAGACATAATTCGTTGAGGCTGCGTAGCGCCTGCACCACCTCAACGGCAGCAGGATCACACCGCTCCTCTCCGGCCAACTGGGGATGGATAGAGATAGAGTTCTCCAAGTGATAGTGGACAACCGTGTCCAGAGACACCAGCTGCCCCTCGTCAAACTGCCGTCCACCACACAAATGACTGAGGACGCTGCAGCCAAGCTGGACTTTACCAAAGCTCTCTCTTCGTCTTGCTTCTAGCTTTGACACTGCCGAACACATGAACTGCTTGTAAAACAGTGTGACGCTTGAAGGTATGATCTTTTCAAAGCCGTACTGGTGGCAAAGAAGAGCACACAGCAAGGGTGTGTTGCGAATGGCCTCCTTCAGTGGACGATTGGCGCGTGTACAGAGTTCTTCAAAGCACTGCCGGCCCTCCGTCTCGCCAAGCTGTTGAATGCAAAACTTCTCTAGCTGAGAGGCATCGAATCCACGCAGTCGATAGTGTAAGGCGCAGGACTTGACCAGATCGTACGCTGCCTGGCACGGGCGACTTGTGGCGATTATCGTGGCATTAAGCAGCCGGCTAGCAGAGGATGCACTGCCATGGTGCTGCATCAACAACTTAGCTGCTGATTGGTCAGAGAATCTATCGCCACCAGCTTCATCAATGCCGTCCAAGATGACCAGTACTTGCTTGGAATTTGCCTGTAGGTGGTTCAGTAATGCTGTCTGCTCTGCTTCATTCAGACCCATCGCAGGGTCATGCAAGCCTAACAGCTCGCTGCACTTACTGCTCTTGATCTGTTGCAGATAGCGGCATGGAATGTAGAAGACGTATTTGAACTCCGCCAGAGGTCCCGACTTGGCATCCGTCACCTCAGCTACGACACGCTGGCACAATGTGGTCTTGCCCTGACCAGCTCCACCAATAACCATGGAGCTGGTCTTAAGCTGCACACAGCTACTGCTGGCTGCTGAACCTGCACTTGCAGCATCAAGACTTGCACCGCTCTTCTGGTTTACAACAGTATATTGCTCTGCATTACTGCTGAGCAGTTGTATAGCGTTCTTCAGCACAAATTCTCTCCCCATCGGTGAAATCTCGTCTTCATTGTGTTGTCGGCTAGGCCGCTTAACCGTAGTTACTGCTCTGTTTCCTCGCTGCCGTTGTTTTGCAGCTGCGAGTGTCCGTGTCCGACGGTGATGCTGGAAAGTCTCGCGCTGCGCTTCTTTTTCGCTTATGGCTTGCAGTGGCACGAAGCATTGACGCACATTGGTATTCAAGTAGGACAGACAGCTAGCACCATCCTGGCTCATCCCGCAGAAATTCTCATTCAGGTTGCCAAGGTGATTCTTCAGAATCTGTGCGCATTCATCAACTGTTCTATTTTCACGGTCACCCTTCGAACTCGCTCCTCCACACTCTAGTTTCTTGGCCAGTTCCTCCAAAACTTTTCTCTCAACACGCGAATCTAGACTTTCCATGGCTCGCACCAGCTCACAACAGGTCGCATCTTCTGGCCCCATTGTTTTCTCGCAAACCTTAGCCTCTGCTTCCAACGATTCAGCCAGGTTTGCTAAACCCAGACAGTCTCTCAGCACTCTGCAGAAGGCGCTGAACGCGTGTTCGCACTCCTTTCTCTCGCCAATGCTATACAGATAGTGTAGCAGGTCATCCACTCGACCAGGACTCAGTGGGCTGGTGCTGATCTTGACGTAATTCAGATCACTGCTACTAAAAATACCGGCCTTGATAAGGTGATCCAAGATTTCGTCCACATCGCCGACTAAACGGCGTTGCAGCTCGATCCGCAGCCGATCCAACGCCAGCACTTCATTCCAGATCATGGTAGATACGCTGGAGGGGAGTGAACTCCACTACAGGCACTAGATACGCACTACTGACTGTCTTCACCGCCAAGCACGGACTCAATCAAGGTTTCCAGACACTGCAACTGCAGTCACTTCAGAGCCAAGCCAGGCAATAAAGACAAGGGACGTAGCGATGACTGTACTCAACTTCAGTTCAAGATCTTGCACGCGGACGGTCACTGAGAGCACAAGTCTATGATCGCCTCAGACATCCACCACGGCACCAGTCCGAGTCGTTTTGAGCTCCGTTGATCATCAGTGATCATGAAGACCTACTAAGGAGTCGAAAGACGATCCAAACTCGAAACAACGAGCCAACCGCGGTTTGAATCCTGCGAAATTAATTCTCTTGCCAACCAAAAAAAAAAATTTCACGGTTCGCGTGAGACTCGGCTGGAAGCCGGGTTTTCCGCATCCGTATAGTAGGAACGCCACCACCCTTCAAGGATCAAGGCGCAGATGCAGCTCCTAAAGCGGTGGGAGGTGAGTAGATCAGCTCACCAGCAAGTGGTCAAAGACCGAAAATCCCATTCACTGCATCCATGTTTTCCTCGTGCCAGGCCACGAGTTCCCAATTAACTGCCAACCAAACGAGTCGATAAAACTGAACCATGTGAACGGCGAGTGAAGGGTGTGCCTGAGAGATGAGCAAGTTAAAAACAAACGTACACGGTAGACCTAGCTACTTAGTAGCTAGGTCTACCGTGTACGTTTGTTTTTATGATGTGGACGCAAAGAACACGAATTATGGTGAACTGAGTATTTAATTAAAATTTAAAATGGTCATTGTGACAAAATGGAGACCCATAGTCCATACAAACTGTCGCTGCATATTTTGAAATACGTCACGTGAAAGGTCTCGCTATATCCTACTAATCTATACTATTCCTACTTTGTAGGTTGAGTAGTCGTTTACGTTCAAGATCTCCAGAGACGCGCAAGGCGAAAGCAGTCGGACGTTCGTTCGTAGAATACTAGTAACTAGATCTGCTGCTGTGCTGCATGCACTGAGGTCAGTGAGGGGTGCAGTGCCCATCTATGGGATTTGACTGTCGAGGAGGATAATGCAGAATGGCGGACGGTCGCATAAGTTGCCTCAAGGCCGTTGTCTGCCTGCTAGCGATTGCTCTGCCCACTGGCATGGCAGCGGTGGACAAGAAACCGCACTTCTTGTTCTTGCTCCTGGATGTCATCATGATGTAAGAAATATTTCCTAACAATGGCGGCATTTGTACTGAACATGGCTTACCTTGCAGTTCTAAGTGCTCCGCGATGTGGAACATTGCGGTGAATCCACTCGTTCTGGACCGACGAAGCGCTTTTGAAAATGAGTTTGTGACCATGTTGGGCAGGGTTGTATAGCATGGTAGATTTACACGATGAATCCTTACTTATAAGTATTAGTTGTCATGGTTATGGTCATGGCCAGCGATGCTCGATCAGCTACGGCGCAGTCGTTTTCTCAGCAGACTCCGTTTCTGTATTAAATTTTGACTGCGCCGTAGCTGGTGGAGCTGACTGTGCTGTAGCTAGTGGAGCATCATTGGTCCTGAGTAGGGGGCTCCTGCCGTCCTGGCTCGAGACCTGGTGCCAAAAGCCGATAGCTATACATTGCTAGTCCATGAAAATCAATCATGTGAGCCAACAAACACCATGAACACAGGGCTGTGAACACTGGGTTCTGTTCCCCTCGAAGCCAGATGCTGACATATTCATGAAATTGTATTTCATTGATCAGCATTGCATAATGGATGTGGAGTTGTGGAGAAAAAGTTTATCCATGCACCAATACCATTCCGTTGCCAGTGTGTGTGTGAAGGAGGGGGGGGGGGGGGGGTCGATTCCCGATGATTATGGTCACACACGTCCTTCGTCTCTTTCTCAGACTCCTCCTGACTTTTCTTTCATTCTCCTGGGTGGTAAGGTTACCAACAGCCAGTGCATGCCGGAGTATGTGGTGCGATGTGTGTGCGGGGAAAAAATGGAAAAGACCAAACCTGAATAGGGATTCACTGGCCAGAAAAAACCACTTCATACCTGTGTGGTGTAGACCAGGCTGAATAGTGGCGGTCAATTCTTCAGCCTTGCAAGCTGTTGAATGGAGCAATCCCAGCACAAGTTGCTATGGCTTCTGCTGTAGCATCGCTATTATCGCCTCCGGCGATGGGCGTCAAATGTTCGAATGGTGTGTGTGTGTGTGTGTGTGTGTGTGTGTGTGTGTGTGTGTGTGTGTGTGTGTGTGTGTGAGAGAGAGAGAGAGAGAGAGAGAGAGAGAGAGAGACAACCTGTTGGAAGGCTACCTTCTTGCCAAAGTATTTGGAAGTTGACTAGTTTCGGCTCCACAATCCAGTGTGTCGTTACTATAATATCTTTCATGGCTGAGGTTGTTTGTATGTCTGTTGGCTCTGGGTTCCCAGTACTCAGTTACCGAGGCTGGTTGGTAAAGTAACTCCAATTTCACTTCAAGGTACCAGTGCATCTAGTGTCTGCTTCTACCAATGCAGCGTACTGTCCATACTGGTTACCCCAGCAAGTGTAGGGTGTGCATAGGTAACAGTCTTTGCCGTTTTATGCCAATGTACTCCGTGTGGTGTAGACCAGGTGTGCATTGGTGGTCGATTCACATGGCTTCGCTAGTTGTGTGGATTAGACAGTTATCTGGTGCAAGTCTTGATCTGTTTCATTCAGATCTTGTTCGCTATCGTTGCTATAAGAGAAAATCTGTGGGTGCACATCCAGACGGACGTATACCGTAAAGTCGCGGATAAAAGCCGGGCTTATAAGCACATAAGCCGGTTTCTGCATCAGGCTTTAATGCAAACCAGGCTTGTATGCAAACCATGCTTATATGCACTACTGATATTTTTTGCCAGGCTTGTATTCACGTTTACTATGCACTGTACATAGTGCATGCACTCTTGACCTACACGATCCGCGCTTGCACAGAAGCCAGGCTTCTACGCGCAACAGGCTTATATGCATTTGACCCGTTTGATTTTCAGGCTTCTATCCGCGATGTGCTTGTATGCAAACCCGGCTTTTATCCGCGACTTTACGGTACATGGTACATGGTGTGTGTGTGTGTGTGTGTGTGAGAGAGAGAGAGAGAGAGAGAGAGAGAGAGAGAGAGAGAGAAGTCAGAAAATCTGCTCTGGACTCCATTTTTCCATAGCTCACGTAATACTGAGATAATACAAACATGACATGATGAAAGCACTATGAGTATGAGAATGCTGTCGGGTGGTACATGGCGTATGTGCTTGTATTCTGAAACATCCAAAAGACCTGTTGTACCGAGCACCTCTGCCCTCTCCGGCTCCTACCCGACCTGTTCTCGATTCTATTCGGACAAGTGCTGTCGATTGGCCAAGAAATTATGCACTGTGCATACCGGGCTGGCAAACGAAAGATTTTAAAAGAATTTCAAGTTTACGAGTCAACTGCCTGTATCCCCTTTTCTGCTATGTGCTATTTTGCTCGTATCGGCACAATGTAGCGCAAGCAGCATTGATGAGTGGCCGACTGCCCATCCACAATGGCTTCTACACAACCAGCGCCCATGCCAGGAACGGTGAATGATGTCTGATGACGGAGTGAGTGCTTGATAGCGAAGCAGCAATAGATCAAACTTAGCATAAATTTTACCACATATTACATTGTTATGACAGCGTAGTTTCATGCCTAGTCTTGATCATGTCTCACTCTCCTTCTTCACCACCACGGTTTTACACTGTAATCGTCGTAAATATCTCTCTGAATGTTCGGCCTTGGGTATTCATCAGGGAGTACACGAATGTGAAGCTAGGTCAGCTGCAAAAAATATCAGTCATGATAAGAATGACAACTAGTCTTGATCACAGTAATCAGTAGTAACTGCACTGTGATCACAGAAATAGTAACTGCACTGTGATCACAGAGTGCTTAGAGAGTGCTGACGGTGTGCTGTTAAGAGTGGTGAATGAACAGAGGACAGCTGTGCGTTGGACATGGCCTTTAGAACACCAACATGAGCTGTGCATTCCTCTCCATTGGTACGAGCACACCGATCAATGTTCATGTTCTCATCGCTTGTTATCGTTCATTGGCGCAGGGTACACTCCACAAGACATCGTGGGTGGGATTCCAGACAAGGAGATACTGTTCCCCGAGCTGCTGCAGAAAGCCGGATATAAGAACAAGATCATCGGGAAGTGGTAAGAAGCTATCCTCAAGACCAAGGTAGCATAGAAATCATAAGTGCCGGAAACATTACGTATTTGGAAATTGTAGCAGCTGGCAGACATACACAAAATTGGCCTGCGCAATGGATAATACAAAGAGGTTTTGCTCATTTCAGAATGGGACTCTCTAGCTTTGCATGCCTAACATACATTCAATGCATCTCGTGACGTAGGTTTTGAGCACGTGCACCCATGTTTAAATCATCCCTGCCCCACCCGAGTCTGATCATTCTTGGGTGGGAAATACTCCTGTAACCAGATAAGAACATCCTGCAACCAAGTCAAATCATCCTACAAGCAAGGCAGATCACTCCCACAAGGAAGTCAGGAGTTGCTAAGGACAGGTGATAAAATTGATTGGTAGAGGTACTACATTGCATACCCACCATCAGCCTCAGCATGACCTGTTCAATCATATCACCTAGTGTATCACCTAGTGCATGTAATACATGCGAGCATGGACAGTGCTGTACAATAGAATCCTATCTCACGAGTCAAGTTTGCGCCCCACGCCCAATCCACATATCCCAGTGTTCGCATGTCCAGGTCTGGGCAGTGCCCGGTGTGGCATTGGCATTGGCATCGGCATCGGCATCGGCATTGGCTTGCTTGATTGGATTTTCATTGAGCAGCACTGTGCTACTAATGAAATCATGTTGAGACTGACTTGGCTTCCTCTGTGCACATACATGCACTTGATCTGTTTTGCTCCGATCTAGGCATCTAGGTCAGCAGGAGCAGTACTTGCCTCATAAGCACGGCTTCGACGAGTGGTTCGGAGCTCCCAACTGCCATTTTGGACCGTACAACGACAAGAGGAAGCCAAACATTCCTATGTATCGCGATGACCATATGATCGGCCGGTTGTACGAGGACTTTGTGATCAATAAAACCAGCGGGTATTCCAATCTAACCCAAATCTACATCGAGGTCAGTGTCGACATATCACTTGTATTGCATTGCTTAACATGTAGTACTCTCTCTTCTGCAGCCAAGCAAGAAAACCCTGTGAAGAGGGTTGCTATGATTGCTCTACGGACTGGTGGTTTCACACACAAGGCCAAGTGAAGCCAACTTGCATTCTGCCCCCCCCCCCCCCCAACCCACCGGCATTCTCTGTGAGGTTGTGAACAAGTGTATGTCCCTGCTAAAGATGAATATACAGCCGTAGGAAACTGTTGCATACAATGAAGTCAATGTGATGTGATTTTCTACCCTTCAATATGTAGTCTGCATTTCTTTCTTTGTCAAGTAGACGCGCATGACTGTGAACCACTGTTATAGAAAGTACATGAACCGAAGTCAATGGACAAAGAGGAATATTCAAACTCTTCCAGATAGTCCTACACATGTGTTGAAACTCATCCCTGTGTTGTTTGTCAATGTTTTCAGGAAGCTACAAACTTCATTAATGAGCAGTCGACGGCGGCCAATCCGTTCCTCTTTTACTGGGCAGTGGATGCCACACATGGTCCAGTCTATGCGTCACATGACTTCCTTGGGACAAGCCAGCGTGGGCTGTAAGTCACACGTCAGCTACCGCTGTCCATAAGTGGTATTCAGTTCCCTGGAACTCTGTTTGTTGTTCACTTCTTCACTACTGTTCTGTGTATCGGGTGCAGGTCGGAGGAGGGTGGAGGTGTTGGAGGAGGGCATTGTGTGCACCTCCACCCCCCCCCCCCCCGACCCCACCCCCATTCATTGAAAGTAGTATTCAAGATATGAAAAAAATTGGTATACTGGGTAACCAGTCATTCGACCTCTGAAGAGAATGGCTGGAATGAAACCGCTACAGCCAGTTGAAATGCCGTGTGTTTAATACTGTAGTTCCAGAGGCGATAATGACCTACTAGCTGTCCTTCATCGCAACGTAATGTTTACGAATCAATCATGGTGACGTTCCCGTAGGGTGAGCGACATTCAGTGCACCCCAAGGGCCTTTAACAACTAGGCATCAACTTCCAGTTCCCTCTGTCAGTGGTAACGAGGCATCTTATAGCGTGTAGAGTGATGGCCTGAAGATGTTAACTTTGTCTCTATCTTCACATACATACACACACACACATATATAAACACACACATGTACACGTAAAAACACACACGTCTACACACTGTTATAGGTATGGCGATGCAGTGCGTGAGTTGGACTATGGTGTTGGTGTCATACTGGCTGCAATCAAGTCAGCTGGTGTTGAGGAAAACACACTAGTCATGTTCTCGTCCGACAATGGTGGAGCTACGTATGCCAAAGAACAAGGTAAACATCACACAACATTTACTAAGTTAGTAGGAGCACACACTTCAGGTTCTTCACCAATAATTTGAAATATTTCACGAGCAAACTTTCGTGCCATCTCTTCAGGTGATATACAGGCAAAAGTAAAGGAACAAAAAAGTTTACAGTCAACTTCGCCAATAACGATATTCGGCGGGGCATCAGAAAAGTGTCCTTATTCGCGAAGTGTCCTTATAACCGAAGTCCCATTTGAATGTATGTGAACCCATATTTTGTATAGTATGACATGCATATCAAAATGAAGCTCTTTTCTTGCTCTATGTCAATGTGTACTTTATTTTCATATTGCAGTGAAAGGAACTAAAAATTCAATATGCAAGGGAAATCAATTGAAAAATATGCCTTTTTGAGCCATCTACAGGCCAGAGACATGTACATGTATGATGATAACTGTACAATCATGCACAACTACATGTACATTGTATACATATACATGTCATGTAGGTGTGCTGGTAAATCCAACAATTTTGAAGCCAACATAAAAAAGGAAGAAAAAGCCCCCCCCCCCCTTGGCTGTATTTTCTTGCATGTGTGCCTGTATATCCATCACCATAGGTTCTGGTACTTATGCATGACAGGTACTTGAAATAGCTGTCAAAAGCCCAGAAAGTCGTTATTCAAGCAGTGAATATGACCTGGGGGGCACTAAAAGCATGTCGCTATACGCGAATTGTCGTTATTCAGATAGTCGTTATATCCGAAGTTAAATGTATACAGTTAGATGGGTCTTTGCTCTGGGCATGGAAATTCTGTGGTTATTCGCGAATTGTCGTTATATCCGCAGTCGTTATTAGCCAAGTTGACTGTACTTGTGAAAATTTCAAAATGCTGTTCAAGAACCAGAAGTGTGTGCTTCCAATAAGTACTGTACTAGTTGAAGGGCTTTATTGCAAAACGAGATAATCCGTTTTGACCAGTTTTTAGGAGGAGCGATTTTTTTCTGTGATCAAAAACTGGCTGGGTTTGTGTCAAATCTAACTTAGCAGATTAGAAGAGTAGGGTGGTGTATGCGCATACAGGCGAATACAGGCTTTCTCAAAAATTAGGGTCTATATATTTCTCAAGCAAGGTGTTTCTTCAACATTTGTTTTGGAAAACCAGATATATCCGCCGGACTAATCAGTGTTATGAGGTTAGAAAATACAAGTACAAAGACTTCACTGAGCTCAGAACTCTGAAGGAGATCAGCAGCAGCAGCAGCGTGGTCGATCCCTGACGCCTCTAGCATACTGCTCTTCTCAGTTTCGAAAGCGAAAAAACAACCGCTACGAAAGAAGGAAATATGCCAAGAACAAAAAGGAAACGCAGATGTAGCTGCTACAAAGCAACAACACGAAAACAATGTACTTTGAACTCTGGCATTGACATTGTGTACAGTCGCGATGTTTGCCACGTGCTGCGCCAGCACTCGCTGGCTTGTCACGGGTCACACTGGATCGCGTGATAGGATATGTTACACTTAAATCTTTGCTCGAAAACATTGGTGGTGTTTATCGCGTTTTGCAATAGAACGTCGACTTCAACGTAGATGTTCAGTGGTATATGTCTTGTTTTGGCGAATTCCTTTTGTCCATCATTTGCAGTGGTCCCTACTGAGTCGATTGATGCCGAAAATGCCATATAAGAGATTGGCGTTTATCGCGTTTTGCAATGAAGCGATTCATATGCATTTGTGTTTACATGTGTGTGTGTGTGTGTGTGTGTGTGTGTGTGTGTGTGTGTGTGTGTGTGTGTGTGTGTGTGTGTGTGTATGTGTGTGTGTGTGTATGTGTGTGTGTATGTGTGTGTGTGTGTGTGTTTGTCCGTACGTGTGTGTGTGTGTTTGCTTGTGATATTCCCCTCGTGCATGGTTAAACAGGAGGTAGCAACGGGCCATTCCTGTGTGGCAAGGAGACGACATACGAAGGTGGAATGAGAGAGCCAACCATCGCTCAGTGGCCTGGTCGTATACAAGCTGGAACAGTAAGCAAGGAGCTGCAGATCCCTGGTTTCTTCATCCTCAGACCTATTTTTTCAAGACAAAGATTGCTTTATAAACCTGCAGAACAGAGTGAGTGTTAGCTGGGGTAGGGAGCAGGCCAGGGTTGGTCTCTAAACTGAACTGTTCCTCTTTTAGTGGAGTGGCAGGGATTTGAGGAACGAGGGGAGGGAAGGGGTGGGGGGGGGGGGAGGAGGGAGAAGATGTACAGTCACAAGTATATACCGTACTCACTCGATTAGAAGCCGGAGGCTTCTATTTTTTTCAATACCAATTTCGAGGAGGCTTCTATTCAAGAGGGGCTTTTATTGTTTCATTCCATACCAGTATTCCAATCGAATCTCTAAAACTTTCATTTTCACAGCAACTCAGCCCCGAGTTAGTTTGCACACACTACGTCGACCAGGACATGTACCAATATGAATATGCACGAGATGTTCTTTGCACACTTGACCTTCATACATCGCACTCGCTGGTCACCCCATGCTTTGTGAATGGTAGTCCGGACTTCTATTCAAGAGGGGTTTGTATTTTTTCAAACAGTCCTTGTAGGGGGGCTATTATTCAAGAGGGGCTTTTATTCGAGAGGGGCTTCTAATCAAGTGAGAACGGTATCCATGATATTCGCAATATTCCTTACTGTTAAGCCTGGGAGAGTTGAGAGTTGTGTTTAGAACAAGATCCATTCTGCTATGTGATGTGTGTCTGAATGTATGCTTGTACAGATCAGCCACCAGCTAGGCAATCTGATGGACTGGTTCAGTACAAGTCTAGACCTAGCTGGTATTGAGCTACCACAGGATCGTATCATTGACGGCATCAGCCTGGCACCAGCACTCTTCAACAATACACCGGTGGACAGACCAATCTTCTATTACCGTGGCAATGAGATGATGGCAGTGCGTGTCGGCATGTACAAGGCTCACTACTGGACATGGACGAATAGCTTGGCGGAGTTCCAGAAGGTTGGTTCAGTATGTCAATATCTGTGATCAGGGTACAGCCTGTGCATAAGGCAGTGACAAATGATATCAGTCTTAACAACAATACTGAACAGTGCTGTGCATGCAGTCAGTGTGTTTATTCCTCTTTTCATCTTATAGTACAGTTGCGCTCGGTGAAATCAGATCCAGAGTGCATATTTGCACACCCTCAATTTGCACGGCTCTTGACGTCTCGGAAGTGGTACAAATGCGGCTGAACGTACACATTTACAAATACAATGACGTCATCAGAATCGTTAGAGGGCACCGGTTTTGCACTTGGGGTCGGATTTCACCGAGAGCGCAAGTGTAGGTGAATCAGCGCATACGTTGTTTTGTCTTCCGTTCTGCATGCCATTAGGGTACGGACTTCTGTCCGGGTGAAGACATCGCCAACGTGACCACACATGATCAAGTCAACAACACCCTGGCACTGATAGTGTTTGACCTGGGCAAAGATCCTGGTGAAAAGTACCGTTTACGGTTAGTGCGACGGCGATTACTTACATGATTGTCATGTTATGTTATCTTCATTTCACTTCACCATAGGCACAGGCATTGATGCCTTCTGCACCTCATCAGATTACTGATGAAATATACTTTAGCGAATTAGGCCAGAGGGCATACATGACCAGTGAGACTTTATTTTATATTAGACGCCAGCCACCTGGTTTTCTAACCAATCCTGCTTTGGCTGTTGGCCGCATTCCTACCAGCCAGCCGTCGTAAAATTGTGAGAGATAATTATAGAGCAGTTTAATTAAGCTACATGTATCGCTACCCGAGACACATCCAGTCCCTGCAGGTCGTGGTATGAACTGCTTGCGGCACTTCACTATATTGGACTGTCTAGCTGGTCCATGCTGCGTGTGTAGAAGCTCATGCGGCAGCTGTACCACTCCTGTGTTACTGTACACGGAAAGTGTTTTAACTGAAAGGTGATAGATACAGTAAAACCTGTAGCTAAAGACCACCGTGACTAGCGACCAGCCTGGTACTACCGACCACCGTGACTAGCGACCAGCCTGGTACTACCGACCACCGTGACTAGCGACCAGCCTGGTACTACCGACCACCGTGACTAGCGACCAGCCTGGTACTACCGACCACCGTGACTAGCGACCAGCCTGGTACTACCGACCACTTCACCAGGCACGGAAGGTCTCACATTCAAAATGCACTGTGACTAGCGACTACCTGCTGAACGCGACCAGCGACCGCCTTTTCCTGTCCCAATGACAATTTTTGACCCGTAACTGGCGACCGCGATGTAGGAAATCAAATGTTGCTCGAAGCTCCTTCTTGAAATTTTACTGATTTTCCATGGTCCTGAAAGGAATATTTCGATACTACAGCTGAACAAATAAACGCAGGTAATTTTGGCTGTGGAGTCGGTGTGGACTGCACTACACCTGTCAAAATTTCAAGCGCTGTCAAGAAAAAACATGATAGGAAACGTCTTGGAGAGCGCATCGAAAGCGCTCTCTGATCGATGTTACTACTCGGAGGAGAAACGAAGACTGGGCGGCTCTGTCACCCCAGTAATACAGACGAATCGACGATGGCATCAAGGAATCCAGAAACAAAGCAGCACCACAGGGTCCTGATGCTGAAGGATCGCGTTCAAGCAACCGAAGAAAAGTCACAACAAGGACAGTCGGTACGATTGATCGCATGAACAAATTTGAAGCCCAGCGCAAAACGAAACTTCCCCAGGGAACGTTTGACTCCTGGCTTCAGAAGTAGCAGCTGAATTTGAATTCTGCAAAAAATTAATCTTCTCTCTCTCTCTCTCTCTCTCTCTCTCCATCTCTCCGTCTTTCTCTCCAAGTGTTGTTTGACCTGAAATAAGAATGACATTGCGCAAGTCCTGGGGAATTGTATTAGCTGCATTTTGACTTACATATCATATAATGGGATCCACTGTGGTCACGCGGTGCAAACCTCTAACTAAAGACCACCTGCTACTAAAGACCGCTTTTGCTGGCACCAAGGGGTGGTCGGTAGTCACAGTTTTTACTGTATGTCTGTTGTCACCACCGAGTGCAGTTTGGTAGATCACATGTACCGAAAACTACTAGCATGTATCTACAGTGTATTGAACACTGTGTTTATTGAGTCTGTTCAGTGCATTGAACACTGTGTTTATTTAGTCTGTCCATTGTATTGAACACTGTGTTTATTTAGTCTGTTCAGTGTATTGAACACTGTGTGTATTTCGTCTGTACAGTGTATTGAACACTGTGTTTATTGAGTCTGTCCATTGTATTGAACACTGTGTTTATTTAGTCTGTTCAGTGTATTGAACACTGTGTTTAATGAGTCTGTACAGTTTGTCATTTACACACAATAAGCCTCTTTTACAGGGCAAAACAAAATCAATGAATTTATGCAATGCGAAACCGGTGAATAAATCCAGAAATACTACAATAGTCATGCATATTCATATACTATGCTATGCGTGTGGTTTCGTCTCAGTCTCCACACAGCACAGTACAAAGCAGCCATGGCGGCCATTCAGCCGGTCGTGGACGACCATAAGTCCAAGCTTGTGCCGGGCGAGCCACAGCTCAACAAATGCGATCCGGCCGTTCAGGTATGTAACCTAGCCACGTGCACACGGAAGGGTGTGTAGCTACGGTGTAATATTGCTTGCATACATGTGCAAGGGCACGGCTGAGGACCGTGACAGCACGTAATCTCATGTACATAGAAGGGTATGGTCTAACCCAGAGGTCCAGTGGAAATATCTTTGCTTGAAAACAGTCTCTGCTGAAGGTACCATGCACTTTGCAATAAAGCAACCACCAGTAGACAGAGGGCTTGGTTCTAATATGAAAGTATTGCTGGTTTTTGGTCATTCTCACGTGCTCTTTCTCTGACTTATTCTCTCACATGATAAGTGATCCGCATTAAAATGGTGCAAAGCGAATTGGGGATGTCAAGACATCAAGAGGACAAAAAATAGTCTAGGAGGATCTACTCATCTGTGTGGGAGAACTCCTATCTTGGTTCCTGTAATATGTTTGATCTTGGGTTTGTAGGTGTGGACAAAAGAAAATCATGCAGATCAAAGTATCCGGGAGGCAATTACCGTGCACATTTTTCAAATGCTTAGCTTTTAGTTGCACATCGGCTCAGTACATCATCTGAAGAGTTCAGGATCTGCACTGTACTATAATGCGAACCCGCAAAACTAATCCAAGGCCTTGAACGCGTCATCAAAGAGTAGTAAAATTACGACTGAGCGGGCTTTACACTTTGATGGCTCATGAGGCCCTTGGCGGAAACTTCCATGATTGGTCGTCTCCTAGATGCCGAGACAGAACTCGCTCTAAAAAAATACTGCTTGTAAGTGGAGAATGGCTGGTTCTACACTATCCTGAGGCAGAGCACTAATTTTAACTTACATGTACATGTAGATGTTTTGGGGTGCTAGACCACCAGACAACACTGCAATCCACAGTTGTGTGCACCAAAACACAACTTTATGTTTCCCCAAGCATCGCTGCACATCTCTTGGTACGCAGTTAAGCGCCATGGCTCAGTTGTGTTTTTTTTGTTTTTTCTCCACTCTGCTGACAGAACTGGGCACCGCCTGGCTGCAAGGAGCTGAACAAGTGCCTGCCAATCCCACCGCACGCCGAGACCGACTGTGTATGGGTGCATTGATGATGGAATTCTATTGCTGCATGCAGTCACACATCATGCTAGGGAAATCGCTCAAGTACAATGGCTTTGGCAATAGTGGCAATATGGTCATGTTAGTGATACCATTGTGTCCTGAGCAAAGACATTAATTTTATCAATCTTTATCATGATCGTTGCTTTAGGCTATTTTTGACAAGACTCATTGTGGAGAGCAGTTTTGATCGACGACTGTGCGGAGTTGCTCAGTGTTGCCAGAACCTTGTTATGAATGGAACAACATTCAGTGAGGATGTTTGTTCACCAGTGGACATAATTTATAGCACACATTTTGGAGAATTCTTCTTTTGACGACATGGCAGACAGTAGATAATTCCGAAAATTTGGCAAACCCACCACATTCAGTGCCTTGCTATGTTATAAAGGCATCAGAAGCCATCCACATACATGTCCTTTGAAGTATACACCGACATACATGAGGGACATTGGACATGGTACGGTCACAACGGTACTGAACGTACGACTACCTGCCCCCTGTAAATCAATAATCCTAAATGTTGGAATCAGACACCCCTCCCCGAGTCATGAGTAAATAGTACTGCAGATGGCTGACCGTAACCACACTAAAATACCTTGCGATGCCCCCGTACAGATACAGTGTAGGGAGAGAAAGGAATTCATGTTACAACTCCAAGTTTTACAAGACTCTGGGCGATCTTTAGCAGGTAACTAACTACCTTGAAGGTCCTCTGTCTCTACTGGGTGTGCTCGGACTTCACCTCACGGGGTGTTGAGCACTCTTCAATCGGTGGGTGACTCTGCTTATTCACTAACATTAACTCTACCAGTACTGTTTGGAGCTAACACTCTCAGTGTGTTGTGCCTGCTGTGCATGACAATTCCACTTTGAAGTCCAAATCCACTATTCACAGTCCTGCATGAACAGCTGCTGTACACCTGTACAGTAGATTTCAGCATACGACACCCAACGTCCACCGTATGCTCCCACCCGGACACACGACGATGCGCACGTAATGACACACGCACAAATCACAGTCACTGAATGTTGCACTGATTCGCAACAGCGTACCTCGGGTATGCAGGCTTATAATTCTTGCATGGCAGCATGAACGCACAGAAGAGTTCAATGCAAGTCAGAATGAAGAGAGCTTGCGTGAAAATTGCTCTGCGAGGCCTATAATATTCAAAAACAAAAAATTAGGAACTATTAAAGTGGCTAGCTGCCACTGTGTTGTCTCAAGATCATGAACACTGCTCCAGATAGTACCTGGCTCAAGTAAAATGATGAATATTTTGGTCTACGGCTGACTCAGTGCAATGACTAAGTCACGTTATATACTAAGTTGCTTGTTATACTAGTAATGGTTTGTGGTGAATTTCCCAAGTACACTATGGTTGCAGTGATCATATCACTCTCGCTAAATGCCAGCATTGCGAGAAAATGTGAAGTGCAGAGGCAGTGCTGTCTATACAAATATGCCTGGTGACTGGAGCCTGCCGAACACACAGAGAGCATGGGATGTGTGACAGAGCAGGCTGTGTGTCTTGACGATCATCCACATGTATATGTAGAACACTAGAATGATCCACATAACCTGCAGCACAGCCAGGCCAAACATACACCACATAACCTGCAGCGCAGCCAGGCCAAACATACACCACTCCGTAACTGAGAAATCCTACATGAAGCTCGGAGAACACATAAATTTCAACGAGGAATGTAATGGTATGCTCAGTCTCAACAATCATACTACATGTATAAAGTGATCTCTTTGCTAGGTAAAACTGTGTAAAAGACTGAGAGAGTGTGCAAACTCTCGAACAAAATCTAATGCTATCTGGGGATGCGATTGCACTCCAATCTTTACTTTGAACAAAAGGGTAATTTGTTTGCACTTGAAAACACCGCCGTTCCAGCAACAGGCCTTCAGCTGCACCAAATAAATAACTTTGCCATTATTTCGCCCATTGGGCATCATCAGGGCAGTGCAAGAAATACGCTGCAATGAAGTTTGGGAATTCTGAAGAAAAGGGTAAATTACGCGAGAATAGTCATGGAAACGGTGTCGTTGACGGAAAGGAAGCAAGGAACTTTTCACAGTTCAGAAGATGAATAGATATTGTCCAAAACCTACTGAAATGTCTTGCTGTGCTTGTAGATAATCACAGAAGGCTGCTGGCGATAGTGTTGCGTACTCAACTTGTATTTCATCAGGGATTTTGTGCAAGTGGGGAGAAAGGGACTCAGTCCGAGACATAGTCAAGAAGTTCCTTATTATTGTACCACGACTCAGTGTTGAGTAATGGCGCCTTGAATAGCGTGACGGAGCACGGATTGTCAAGCAAGTCAATCCTATCCATGGCCATGACCGCAGGTGACTGGAGAAAGTACCTGATACCCTTATCTGTGATCTTGTCCTGCACGAGGCAGACATGTCGTAAGCTGCAATTGGCTTCGCTGAGCTCAACAAGGGCACGAGCTGTATCATCTCCGATATCGTTGTGCGACAGCTCAAGCCAACTAATGTGTGGAAGATGTTTCAGGCATCGCACAATGTCAGCACCAACCTCGTCCGACATGCCGGTTCTTTCTAAGGAGAGGAAGTGGAGCTGTTTGCAGCTAGACAAGCTCTGCAGTAGACGTGGATACTCTTGATGGCTGGTGTTGATATCGTGGAACACTGGGTTTTTCTCAAGGGACAGTGCACGAATACCAGAGAGTGGTGATGCTGCAGCTTCCAGTAATGAAACTGTTCCAGGCAACTTGATATTGTTACCGAAGAAGTCAATAACTTTTACGGATCTATTCTCAGCCATGCCTGCCATTGCTAGTGTGGTTACTCCCGTATCAGTAAGTTGACAAAAGCAGACTTCAACGATAGACAGTTCAGTGCTGGTCGCAAGGTACTGCCCAAGTGCACCCATCATGTCATCAGTCAACATGCCGTAATGTCTGCCACCTTTTCCCTCCACTAGTTCCTGTACAGAGCGTTGCAGAACTGAGTTACCATACACCCAGTGACTGCTGATGTCTACAATGTCGCTGCCACAATTGCCGGACTCAGCAATGTCCTTGAGGAGCTTGGTCGAGATGTTGTTCCCCTTCAAAGATATGTTACAAGTCGGTAGAGGCTGCCGATGTCCAAGACTGCCACTAGTAGCTGTTGACTCGTTTCGACTGGTCCGTGCTCTTCTGGCTTGCAGAAAGGCAATGACGCTGGGCGCAAGATCGTCTCCCAATCCATTGTTGTCAAAGTTTAGAATTTGAATGTTGGAATGTGAATGCAGAGCGTGCAGTGTACATGCAACGTCATCTTTGGACAGTGCATTTTCCCATAACCCGAGTGTTGTCAGGTATGGTACTTTCTGAAGGAGTGTAGCAAAGGTCGCTCCACAACCATTCAGCAGGTTGCAAGCCGGAAAGAAGAGTGAGTTGAGGTGTGAAGAATCCATTAGGCCGTCAGCAAATGCTCTAAGTCCATCGTTAGATAGAGCCCTTGTTACATCAGGATGACCTCCGACAAGGAGCGTCGATAGGCTTGGATGCTGGGCACACCGAACGAGAGATTCATAGTCTTTTCCAGGCATGAAAAACGCATTCGTGAGAAACAGTGTCTTCAGATGGCTCTGCTGCGTGGAGTCTGACAAAGCTGCAGCAATACTCTCCAATGGAAAGCCACTGAGACGCATACCACTGACATCAACGCTCACCGCCTTGTCCAGCACGGTAGACAACCTATCAAAGTGCTCATCAGAGAGATTGCAATTATCGACGTTCAGCAATGGTACATGCTCAGCAAGCTCAAGGACGTTGCATATGGCCATGACGTCGTTTGTGTCCAGGCGTATTCTACTAACGTCCACCCCTTCTTCTGCTAGCTTTGATGCAGCCGCTGCGTACACAGCCTGGCTTGGATGGTCGTCATCAGCTGCTACAACATCAGACTGGAGCGAGAGGTAGTTTTCAAGCAGTGCACGCATCATGAACAAGAACATCTTCTTGCTCAATTTGCCCGTGGTAGTGTCGACCGCAACAGACCGCACCACATCCAACGCAGAACACAGGTACTGTGGATGGAGCTCGCCGAAGACGAATCTCCAGAAGACGTGACGGCTCTCCTCCACTCCTACGTCCTGGATGCAGTCCCCGATGGCATCAATGCATTTGTCAGATGCAGTAAGAGCTCTGGAGGCACACCATTCTTGCACAGTCAAGTGAGCCAGTGTGGTGAGCTGTTCTCTGCCACCAAACGGCGCTGCTTCAAAGTGCTGCGTCAGTCCAAGGTTCTGCCATATCAGTAAATGCCGGCCATCCAAGGAATTAGAGGGAAATGTTGTGCAATTGCGCAGCAGTTCCTTGAGACATAATTCGTTGAGGCTGAGTAGCGCCTGCACCACCTCAACAGCAGCAGGATCACACCGCCCCTCTCCAGCCCGCTGGGGATGAATAGAGATAGAGTTCTCCAAGTGATAGTGGACAACCGTCTCCAGAGACACCAGCTGCCCCTCGTCAAACTGCCGTCCACCACACAAATGACTGAGTACGCTGCAGCCAAGCTGGACTTTACCAAAGCTCTCGCCTCGACTTGCTTCCAGCTTTGACACTGCCGAACACATGAACTGCTTGTAAAACAGTGTGACGCTTGAAGGTATGACCTTTTCAAAGCCGTACTGGTGACAAAGAAGAGAACACAGCAAGGGTGTGTTGCGAATTGCCTCCTTCAGTGGACGATTGGCACGAGTACACAGTTCTTCAAAGCACTGCTGGCCCGCTGTCTCACCAAGCTGTTGAATGCAAAACTTCTCTAGCTGAGAGGAATTGAATCCACGCAGTCGATAGTGTGAGGAGCATGCCTTGACCAGATCGTACGCTGCCTGGCACGGGCGACTTGCGGCGATTATCGTGGCGTTAAGCAGCCGGCTAGCAAAAGATGCGCTGCCATGGCGCTGCATCAACAACTTAGCTGCTGATTGGTCAGAGAATCCATCGCCACCAGCTTCATCAATGCCGTCCAAGATGACCAGTACTTGCTTGGAATTTGCCTGTAGGTAGTTCAGTAATGCTGTCTGCTCAACTTCATTCAGACCCATCGCAGGGTCATGCAAGCCTAACAGCTCGCTGCACTTACTGCTCTTGATCCGTTGCAGATAGCGGCATGGAATGTAGAAGACGTAGTTGAACTCCGCCAGAGGTCCCG